TTGAAACCAGTCTTACGTTGGTGTTCGGGTTTCGCGCCACTTCAATGTACGGTCTTCAATGAGGCTTCATGGTTTCCATTCAGGATTTCATAGCACGGTTTGAAAACCAGCTTTAGGTTTTCAAGCCAGTGTTTCAGTCGCAAAGCAGGGTTTCAAGTCAGAGTTTCAGTTTCCGAGTGGGGTTTTAAGTCTGGGTGAAGGCTTCATGTCGGTGTGATAGTACATGAAGGGCTACCGGTGATCTGAAGGCCGTCATGTCCGTCTGTTTGTTTTGTTTTGTTTTCAGCCCCAGCTGGAGTGAAGGGCGTTTCCTTGAGGCAAGCGCACTCGTTCCGCGTTTGCCAATCAAGTCTGCCGTGTATTGAAGGACTGCCAAGTTGCCGCGTCTCTTGTCGGATTATTGACCTTGCTCGCTGTTGTGCTTCAAGTGTTGTATTCGAGACCTCTCCATCGCTTTCTTGGTCGCTCTCGTTTTGCTCATAGAACCTTCCAAGTATTTTCATTAGTCCCTTGTATCGATCTTGATCTTTGGTTTCGCGTTACTGGGCTTATCGTATTTCGTTTGCGTATTCTCTGTGTTCTCTTGTATTTTGCCGTTGCAAGCGCTCTTTATTTTATGCATTGTTTTGTTTTCCTGGCTCCTTGTGACCAGCGATTTCAGTTTGCACTTTTCTGTAATGAATATTTTTGGTCTCGCACTTTGAGCCTCCATTTCTGGAATCCAAAACAATATTCGGTTCTGTTCAGAACCTGACGAATGCGGTGCTAGCTATGCAGTTTGCATTGTCTAAAACTATTCTTCTCGGAATTTTTTTTCAATCCAAGTCCCGGCCAACCGACCTTTTGTTTGTGTGCTGCCAGGTACCCGTGCATCTTCTCGGGCCGCAAGAAGGTGGCGGCGGTGCCGCCGGCGCGCACGGCAAAGCGCACGTCCAGCATGCGGCCGGGGACGTCGCTCAGGCCGAAGACGTTGACGTCGGACGGCGACACCGACAACATCTCGGACAGGAAGTCGGACAGCAGCTCGTATCGGCTGCGCTGCTTGCCCCTCGGCTCCATGAATTCCTTGGCCGTCATATCTGCCGCAAGTTGACAACAACAAAAATCACATTAAAAAGTCATTAAGTTATTAAGGCCTGATTTTCAAGGGGGGAAAAAAGGACAAAAAAAACCCTACACATCAATTTAATGATGTCAAGTGGTTGCAAACAGTAAATCCTTTAAGGTGATGTATAGCCCACTTAAAAAAAATGCACCTGGATCCAGATTATTTTGTTACGTGCAAACAACTGACAAAATAAAATGTCAATTCATCACACCATTTGTTTTTCTGAGTAAGTGCGATTAAAGCCATAGAGTCACATTTTAAGTAAAAAATGTGAACGATTCTACGAAGAAAGAATGTTATGCCTCTTACGGAAAAGCGACTGGAGCGATTTCACTTGTCTTTTTTTTTAAATTAAAAAAAAAACATGCATTTAGATGTATTGATCTTTTTAAGGGAAATATATTGTAATCTATGGCTCAAATCTTTTTCCAAAAAGGTGCAATTAATACGATTTTCAAATTTGAACGAGGGATACGAGAGATATTTGAATTGCTGAATTTCAAACTGGAACTTCAATTTGGTCTCATGATATTTTCCCTTTCGTTCTGGAAAAGATGTCTTGACTCTGTCAACTAAAATGAAAAAAGAACAAGAAAAAAGGGCTGCAATCGCTCTCTTGCCAGAGCACCGAGTGCACCGCTGTTGATGTCAAGTGATTTAGGAAAACATTTCGATTTAATACGAACAAAGCTGTCGGGATGAACTATTGAAAAAGGCTTCTTGTTGTTCGGAATGGTTGTGTGTGTGTGCATTTGTGCGCGCGCGTGCCTGTGAGAATATGCAAATGTTCCAGTTAAAGGTGATTACACTCTGGACAATTTAGCAGCTTCATTTCCGATCGTGAGCGCGGAGAGCAGTCAGCTCATGTTTTATTCACCGCCGCGATGTCGGCCGCGGCACCGCGGCAAGTCGTCGTTACGGTTTGAAATTGGGGTTTGAAGTCGGCACTGGGAAATGGCCAAGTCGGGCTCCGGAAGAGGCTTGGAAATCGCCGCTGTGGCTTACCTACGTTTCCTCAGTAGCCTTTTAGGTCCGGACTTGGAATTTGGGTTTCAAGCCAGCGTTTGGGCTTCAAGGTGCCATTTCAAGCTGGTGCTGTGCTTTCCAAGTGGAGAAGGTCCTTCGGTCATTCAAAGTAGGGACTCAAGAGAACTGAAGATTTGAAACCAGTGTGACATCGATTTCAGAAGTGCTTCAAGTGAGGGTTATGAATTCGGGTTCTGAGCCACTCTTGGGGTTTGAAAGTAAGTGGTTGACATACATGAGGCTTACGTTTTTCAAGACAGGGCTTGAAAGTAGGCTTTCAAGACAGACTTCAGATTTCAATCCAGTGTTACAGTTTCAAAGTCGCGTGTCAAGTCAGGAATGTTATTTCAAGCCTGTTTCGGTTTTGAGCCGGGGTAAGGAATTTCAAGTAGGGTTTGAAGACAAGCTTAAGGTACGAAAGCCAGTTTTACGGTTTTAAAATAGGGTTCTACGTTCCAGTCGGGTTACGGTTTCGGAGTATGGTTTTAGGACAATGTTATGGTTTGAAAACCGTGTCAAAGTGAGACACGCTTGGGATTTCACGCCAGTGTTACACGTTTAAGTCAGGCTCAAGGTTGAATTTTAGGGTTTCAAAGTCACGTGTGAAGCTGTTCCAGTTATAAAGGCACATATCACGTTTTTTTGTTGTTTGTTTTGGTCAAGCACGCCGATGGCCAGCAAACGCTTCGAAAGGAAGCAAAATCACTGAATGTGCTTCTTTAAAAGAGAACCGAGAAGCACGCCAGTGTTACACGTTTAAGTCAGGCTCAAGGTCGAATTTTAGGGTTTCAAAGTCACGTGTGAAGATGTTCCAGTTATAAAGGCACATATCACGTTTTTTTTTTTTGTTTGTTTTGGACAAGCACGCCGACGGCCAGCAAACGCTTCAAAAGGAAGCAAAATCACTCAATGTGCTTCTTTAAAAGAGAACCGAGAGCCACTGAGGGTGGAGACTACATTTGAAAGAAAAACAACGGCAGGAGGCCTAATTTGATTGTTAGCCCATCATGACAGCTAATTGACACGCCGCGCCATACTTGTTGTCTCGGACTGATTGACGGGCTAGACGGGAGGGTTTCATCATCGTCCGTGTTGAAATTGTCTTAAGTGAAGCGCGTCTGTACACAAACATGGCACTCCGCTGTTTTATTTATGAATAAAAATGAATGGAATGGAACAATACATCAGCATAAAGGACGACACCGCTTTTGTTCCCCCCCATCCCCCCCCTGAGAGGAAAAACAAGGATATCAGAGAAAAGGCACGCATCAAAGACACATCCTCAGCTGGGAGGGATGCGGCAAGCTTTAGTCGCGTGCGTGCGCGCGCACACGCCGCTGAGAGTCCTCAACAAGTCAGAGAGAAGTGGAGTGTAAAATTCGGGGGAGCGTTTCATCCTCCATTCATCATCTGCCAGTCCCGGCTGTCTTTTTTCATCCGCCGCGTTTGGCAAAGTACAAACAAAAACATGCCGAAGGTGGACAAAAGTATTGGGACATGACTCGGAACACGAAAGGACCATTTTGAGGGGAAAAAAAATGTCGGTGGAGTTTGATTTTTATGCCGATTCAAACTAAAATCGGCATACTGATTGCAAAAAAATGCAGTGAGAAAAGCACAATTGCGCTGATTGACTGGAGTAAGAAGAGCTGATTACGATTGGACTCAGCAATGTGGCAACTCGCTTGTGCATTCATCATTGACACGTGCAGTGAGAGGCGTGTGCAGCTGCCAAGAGGTCACGACTATCAATATCTGACACTAGTTTGACGCTGCTTCTTTTTTTTTTTTTTTTTTTGGTTTGTCGCTTTCCTTTTATTAACATCTAAACACCTTTTAGTTGATATGTTTTAAGAAGACCGGCATTATATCGATCAACTGACGTGACAGAGAAAGACTGAGGTCAGCTTTGGATTCTGCACCCAGAAATTTGTTAAAAAACATCCGTCAGACTGAAATGAGCAAAAATTGTGTTCCAAGTGTCATGAGGCCATGGCAGCTTTTAAAGGATGGATGGATGCTGGAAGACAATGGGGAAACGTTTTGTTTGTGTTGCCAGTTACTTTAGGGGCACTCCCATTTGTCAACATCCATCCATGTATTTGTCCATCCACCGTCCACCCATTGACGCTCTAGCCATCATTCAAAAATGTTTCGATCCATTCACCTGTGAATGAGGCCATCCATCCATCCATCCAGACACCCACCCACCAAACATACACACCAACCCATCTATCCATTCATCAAACCAATCCAACCCATCCATCCATTTGTCCATCTATCCAGACAACCGCACACATCATCCATCCATCCATCCATCCGACTGGCCCTCCACCTGTCCAACAATCAATTAATGTGATAATCCATCAATCATCCATCCATTTGTCAAGTAATCTATTTCATCATGCATCCATCTTTCCGTGCATCTTGCCAGCTCTCTGTCATCCACGATCTGTCCACCCTCCCATCCATGTAAACCGAGAGCTATTCGGGCAGGATCTTAAAAAGGAGGTCAGACGAGCACCGAGTGAACGTCAGAGGCAAACGTCAGCTCTCATCCATCCATCCGGGCGGAGGAGGACGGACGAGGGCCGACAGGGAGACGGTCGGGAGTAAAGTGGGCTGCGGGGGAAAGCCTGGTAAGTTGTAACATTCTATGACAGCCTCTGCACCTGGCGCACATCCGAACACACTACTGCTCTCTCCTCCCTGCAGGCTGTCTGCCTCCATCTGAATACATTATCTGGCGTGCGCGCGCACACACACACACACACACACACACACACACACACACACACACACACACACACACACACAAAAAAGCAATTTAAATAGCATCTGCGGCAGAGGACTTTTTCTCAAGAGGTTTTTGAAGGCTCCAGAGGTTTTTAAAGATACCTTGAAAGAGTTTCAAAGTACTCTGAGAAAAAACAACGCTGCAAGTTAACGGCTGCTCAAGTTGATTGGACCGCCAAGGCAACAAAAAGCATCAAGACTGATTGAAGAGTCCAATCAAGATGCAGGGAAAGAAGAGCCAAGGACTCCAGACTGGTGGCGGTGGTGTAAAATCTTCACAAGGATGTTTGCAAAATATCCACGAGATTACAATGGGTGATTTTTCACAGTAAAACAAGTTCAATGATTACATTGAAAAAAAGAAAAAAAAATCAATGGCGGCTTGAAACCAAAATCGTCGACTTCCAGTGTTTATTCAAGTAAGGCTTCTTGAAACTTTTTTGTGGGTCAAGTAATGAGAGACGTGTCTACAAAATATCAGGTTGCCAAGAGAAACTGGTTGCAGGGGGCAAATTTTTCCAAACAATTCCACTGGTCAACAGCAAATTTTAATTGGGGATGGCTTTACATCTACTGAAATGTATTTTTGACATTGATTTCCCCCCCAATCTTTTTTGTTTTGGGGATTTTTTTTTTCCATTGTCGACCGCTGTTCTGGGAGGCAAAAACTGTGGTCAAGCGTTTAAAAGATGACTAGACATGAACCTTCAAATAGCCGTTTCAAACCAAAGTCTCTGACGCCCTGCTGTGTCTTTTTGCATCTCAAGAACCATTTCTTGAGATACGTTTGATGAAAAAAAAAAAAAAAAAAAAGGCTTTTGAAACTTCATGATTCTCAGTGAAACTAGGTTCTGGGAAAGAAAAAAAAATCATGACAGGTGAAATTTCAAGGTGAAATCTTTCAAAGGCATTTCGCAATACACCTTCAAATAGCCATTTCAAACTAAAACGGCTGACCTCCAGGGTCTTTTTGAACGCGGATTCTTGAGAGTCTTTTGCGGGTCTACTCATAATAGACATGGCCACTAAATTTGGTAGTTCTAATTGCGTCCTGAATTTTCCAAAAAGTTGGGAGCAAAAATTTGACACAGAGATGTACCTTTAGAAGCATGTTGCATGAAAACAAAAATGTGAGACTTCCCGTTTATTTTCAGGTATGGATTAATGGGACTTTTTTGTGCATCTTTTCATAATAGAAACTGTGACCAAATTTCATGCTGTTAAGGTTTTCAGAGATTGATTTTTGAGACCTTGCGGGTCTATTCATGGCAGAAATCGCAAGAAATTTTGTTAAGTGAAAGCTCGCAGAGGCTGATTTTTGAGCCTTTTTGTGGGTCTATTCATGGTCAGAGTTTTTACCAAATTTCAGCGTGGTAACTGACGGAGATGATTTTTCCCAAGAAAAAAAAAACAACAACAAAAAAAAACGGTCGTCTCTAAAATCTCTCGGCCATATCTAAAAATGCTTCTCCAAATGTTTGCTTCAAACCAAATTGGTGGACTTGCGGTTGCTTTTCAGGACTTGAGACTTCTTTTTGTGGCTGTACTCCTGAAAGACATGCCCGACTAAATTCATGTTCCTGAAGGAAAGTGGCGATTTATCGTTTTGCTGAATTTTCCCAAGCTAAGCTACGGCTGAAAGAACTTCATCCTTCAGGACGGAGAGAAGGGCAGAGTCAAAGCAGAAGCGATTAAAGGAGCGCAGACGATATTTTCCCAATTTCTCGTCAGTATCGATCCTCGATCCCTCGCCAGGCGGGAGAGAAATATTTCGGCAATCTCTCACTTGACCGTGTTGCCTTTTAAAGGTCGAACCCCTCGAGAGGGGCTCTTCATCAAGTGGGGGTCTTGCGTGGGGAAGCTTTTGTGGACATTCAAGGACTTTCCGCCTTTTTAAAGATAGTGAAGCAGCGGCGGGCGGCGGCTGTTGTGCGTTGATGTCTGCGCTTTGCATTCATCTCACGGCGGCGATTCAAGTCGCACGCGGTTATTGCTTTCTGCATTGGTTCCCGGGAATGGGATTTCGGAAAGTCAAGTCGCTCTGCTCCAACTGGGATATTCTCTGAAGTCTCCAGCACTCTGACGGCCAATCGATGAGAGCGCTTCTTATTGCGCAGCTCGGCCACGCTTACGCACGCTCTCCTTCACATGATCTCACAGTCGGATTTTCTTATTCCGTCGACGGAGGTTCAAAATATGAGATCTTATGGAATTTTTTTTTTTTGTTTGACAGAACACTCCAGCCCATTTTACCGCCTCGAACGAGACAGATGATGTACAATGGCCTTGCTTTTTTTTAATGCAGTGACTCCGTGGGCAAATTCAGGCAATTTGTTTACTGTCGGCCATTTTCAAAGCAATGTTCCCCATGTTGCCGGCTGGAGAGCGATCTGACTCATCTTTTTGGTATAGTGTTCTGTATCAGCAACAAACCGACCAAAAGAAATCGAAGACTCTCTTCTTTCAGACCAGGGGAAAAAAATGTTTTGAGCTTTTACCGTTTCAGTAATCAGCAGTCAAAGAGGGGTCGGGTTCATTAGGGGGGAAAAAAAAAACAAACATTTTTTTCCGACCAAAACACGGAGAAAACAAATTTATTTTATTTATTTTTTTGCTTTTGTGACACCTCCATAAATGATTACAATGATCAGGATCATTATCAGGCTTCCGCAAAGCTTGCTGATGAGCTGATCATTTTAATCAGGCGTGTTGCACGAGAGAGACAGCAGCAACAACAGGCCGGATAGGGGCTCTCGAGTCCCCCTTGTTTGTGTCATACATAAGCAAACTCCTTTTAGGTGTCAGATGCCGAACTCGTCCGACTTGTGTGTCGGCATTGATCTCCCTCGACAAGCCGAGAATCGGTCCCTCATTTTCATCTTCAACTCAAAAGCTGTGCTGATCTCAAATCCCAAGTGATAAATTCAATACTGTCCATTTTACATGCTGGACTTTGAATACGTGAAAAAACATCAAATGAAATGACCATTTCATTTTTTGAGGGGAGGGGGGATCACGTAGCTGTGAAAGCAGGCATGACAGCAGCCATGTAAAGAAGGTGTCATGCGAATATTTCCATTTCCTTTGCAGCCCAACTGAGCAATGTTTCCAGCGGCTGCTGCGCGCCACGTTCATCTACCCGCTTTTCTCGCTTTGGCAAGACAAATCCTTTTATGTGCAACGACGACGCAGCGTACTCCTTCCTTCCTCCTGCACCTCCAAAGCGCCCACCTCTCTTTGGAAGGTTCTATTTCAATATCTGAGAGATGGTAAAAGCCCCTCAGCCGTGTCCTATTTCTCGCAGGCAAATGTAAAGTGGCGGAGACGGCGGAAGCTGCCGCCTACAGCAGCTAACTGCGGTCGACGCAAGTGTGGCTCTGTGTCTCTTGCCCGAGAGCCAACATGAAAAATGATCATCATTCTTCATGCTCAGCACTAAGTGTCTAATCGGGACACACTAATCAACTAACTGGACAGGCTTTTCATCTTTTTTTGGCAGGGGCGGGGGGCACTTTGGATTATTTTTTTATCATTAATGTAAATTTTGTTTTGTGCAATCATTGACAGCATGGATTATAAGACCCAATCGATATCAAAGTTATTAAAGAAACTAGCGCAATCGACTAAAATGAAACATTTTGGGAAATGAAACAAAATGAAAATGACAGTGCTTTAAAAAGACTGAAAAGGAACTGAAACTACCTCTAATGTGCATACAACCAACTAAAACGATGGCCGTGCCACAGTCAGTTGAGCAGTGCAATTTACTCCGTTACATAATATTTATTGCAACCTTTTTTTTAAAAATATGCACTATGCACACACACACACACACACACACACACACACACACACACACACACACACACACACACACACATATATGTGTATTTGACTATAGGACTGTTATGAATTGATGGTTCTTGTTTACATTTCAACATTTATATATTTTAATTGTAATCCTAATGCAGTTTAATATTTGTAAATGTAAACTGCATATATTTTATATCGCATGTTTTTACATTTTTAATAGATTTCCATTTTTATACACTTTATTGATGTGCACATTTCGATATATTTTGAACTTTCTATAAGTCTGTGACTAGTTGTACATCTTCAGATTTGTAATATTACATTCTAATTATTTTTATGTATTTTGTTGTTGCATTCAATTTACTTCTATCATACAAAGTACTATATTTTTTTCAGATTTTTTTATGTGTCTTCAACATTTTTTTAAAGACAGATATTTCTCGTGGTCATGGGTCTTACCTGCAAGGCGGAGCGACGCCAAGTTCTGCACGGCGTCCTCGGGCAGCTCCCGTACGTGCACCGTAACCGCCGAGACGGCGTCGGGCCACACGCCGTCCGAAACGCGCACGAGGAACCGATAGTCGCCCGACGGGGCCTTCTCCTTGATGATCACAAAGCCCGTGCGCTTGTTCAAGACGAAGTAGCTGTCCCAAAAAATAAAAGACAACAATTTCCGAATCATTCACAACAAATTTGATATGGTTTCAACTACTGGAGGACAATTAAGTCTTGAGGAAGCTCAGTTCACAATCGTCATTGTTTTCCTGTCAAATTCCAAAATGTTTTGGGTTTTTTTTTTGTGGGCTTTTGTGCAAGAATTACTCCCCCAAAAATGCCTTCACCAGTGCCATACTAAAGCTAAGCTAGAAAAAAAAGTTTTCGCTCAGTATTGGCGCCGCGTTGCACGAATATCGTGCGCGAACTTGGCGCTTTGGGCAAAGCGTGACCTTCTCCCTCCTCCCCAAACAACTCCAAAGTCCTCCAGACACTTTGGGGGGAGCCAGCGTGAAGCAATTAGGGCTCGATTGTCTGGCTCCGTCTCACCCGGGGAACGTCTCTAGGGGGCGCCGCGGGTCAGAGCGTCACTCGTCCAATTACGGGACGGATGCTCTCGCTCATAAATTAAAATGGCCGCCGCCTGCAGCCGAGCGGCGTGATGGGAAATGTTGAGACAAGGTCGGCAAAAAGTCATGGGGGGGGGGGGGCGGGGCGTGCTGCCCCCATGTTGACCGAGGAAAACTCGTGAGCTTGCCGTGTCTCTCTTTTAGGATGCCCTTTCATCAATTAAAGCACACCTTGCATGCGCGCGTGTGTGTGTGTGTGTGTGTGTGTGTGTGTGTGTGTGTGTGTGTGTGTGTGTGTGTGCGTGTGCGCACGCACTCTTAATTAAACTCATCACCTGCACGTGTGTGCTCAATAAACCACACAAAACTGAAATGCACACACGCATGCAAAACAGTTGCACAAAGTCAGGCTCAAAATATCATCCATCCGTCTGCAGGTCCATCCATCACCATCCGTGTTTATTTGAACTGGTATGAGAACATAGATCATTAAGATGGGCAAAAGGCCAGAGAGGGACCAAGAGGCAGATATAACAAACGCTGTCAAGTTAGCAGGAATCAGGCTGCTAACAGCGCACTTCTTCTTAGCGGCCTATTTTGAAAACCAGTCACAGCACTTCCGGTCTGATGCTAACTTTATGACAGCAAAGATGATCGCTAGTTTTGATTTGAAATTATTTGGTGACACCCTCCGGAATGAGGGTAGGCAGTCAGCGCGATGTATTTAATACAATGGTGAGCAAAAATTTGCCAATTACGATGTCAAGGTGAGAGTTTGATTTAAGCATTCCAGACAACATATATTTCAAAACGGATTCTGGCCTAGAATAGCGGCCCGAGCAGTGTATACCGTAGCAAGGGCCCCGCGGGAATTCAACCAAAGGCCCAGATGACTCACTCCCTGTTATGAATTTGGTATTTTTGCCATCGGCCGGCATCTTGCGGCCTCATTCGGAGTTCCTCGCCTTGCCGAGGGCTTCCGCCTTTTCCCTTTCTAGAACGTTAGCGGGGTGGCATCCTGACATGACGTTGCGCAGCATCGGTGGAGCCACCCAAGTATGTAAAAAGATGAAACGTAGCCAGCCATCGACTGCCCATAAGCATGGTCGGAACCCAAAGAAATAAATGCATCAATAAATATCATCATATGTCATCAATGTAATAAAGATACCGATGTAGATAGAGATGACAATTTTATTTTTCTTCCCCAACGTCGACATGGGAATGTCCTCTTCCACGGCAGCTTCATGATCATCGTCGTGGCGACTACACGTTACGTTGTTTGTCGAAGAATTTTGCGTTCTTCGTTGATGTTGCGCTCTCTCGTTTTATGGTGGATTTTGAAATTTTCGAAGTATTGTTGGAAAAGTGTGTTGAAAGACATTAAAAAAAAAAAAAAAGGGCCATAAATGCCATCAGAAGCAGCCGAAGGTGAATTCTTTTCACACTGAAGTCACATTTTTTAAATCACTTATTCATCATCATTACCGATGCAATTAGTTCATTCATTCATTATGATTTAAAAAATAAAATAAAACATCAACTGGTGTAATTAGGTGTTAGAGGAATCTATGGGCGAAATTGTATCATGTTTAAAGTTTCATTTGATCTGTGCACGTTGAAGCGTCTGGGTGCGTAATTCGCACCCCCAAATTCCTGTTCAGAAGGTGCCGGCCATTTGGGCGGAGGGCTGTTGCAGCCCACACCACAATTAACACATCAAGGCGGGTGGGCGATCAGAGGAGAGAGAGCCAGATCCGGTCACAAAGGGGGAACGAGTAATTTGGGAACAGCGGTTGAACAACAAAAGACGATTTGAGGACACCCGTCGCGCCCAGGCGACATTTGTCGTCCGCAAAGTCTGCGATATGTTGATACAGTGTAGACCAGACCGAAAGGCGCCAAAGTGCCGCTGGTTCAAAGCGCACACCCAGGTAACCAATCACCACCGAGGGGCCGGACCAGGGGTGCGGTATGCAAATATCGGGGGCAGTGTTATTCTTGTATTTTGCATATGTCACAATAAAGGTTCGAACTCGAGGAGGGGGGGCTCTGAGCGTGATCACGGAGCAACTAAACCGTCGTTCTCTCTCAGAGATCCGCTTCCGTCGATATTGAAGACAATTTTCCTGTGTGCCGAGTCGTTTCTTTAACCTTGTCCGAGAAAATCTCTGACATTAGGTCAATTATTTTTCAATGTATTTATTCATAATTTTCATTCCGACATTTATTTGACTGTTTTTATGCAATGACATTTTCAAATTCTCATTTTGGTGTGTATTTCTGATGACATTTGCAGTCCATCTTTCCGTCTGTGTGCGCGTGCGAATGAACGGCCCCGCACAAACTTTTCCTGTCGTCTCGCGGCGACCACGACAAATAAAAGCGGAGCGTGTGAGGCGTTGACGAGGTGTTAACGAGGCTTTCAAGTACAACCTCCCCCTCCTGCTGCCGATGGTGCTGCTGCAACCTTCCTTTCGGAGGATAAAACTGAAAAAGGGGATGAAAACACTCCATCGCGCGCTTTTACGATGTCTTTTATGCTCCGTTTTAGTGTTGACTCCATTTCCCGCCGTGAATCAACGTCCCCCGCGGGACAATGATCGACGCCTCCGTCAGTAAGGCGCCGCGGCGGGAGGCTGACAAACAAGCCCGGGCCGCCTTTTCTGTCTTCCCGTACAGGTAATTAGTTGGCTTGATTCGGGAGGAGTCTCGTCACCAGCGGTGGACACTCATCACGTACATTCGCTGAAGTATTGCGCTTCGGTGGATCCCCAAGTTTGAAACGTGCGGCTGGATTTCCCAAGTTTTCTCAATTGGTCTCATAGCGATCGTTGATTGTGTACGAATAGTGGCTCTAAAAAGTCCACGCGCCCCTGTTGAGAGAGGGCGTCGTGCCAAGGCTGTATTTTGAAGGTGGCGCATGGTTGAATTAAAAAAAAAAATGTGATTGAAACCTAAAAGGTGATGATGCAGTGCTTTTTCTCAGGTGTTATGGGGAATGGGTGCGCCATTGCTTTCGGCATGTACAAGGAGCAGCAGGAATGACAACATTTGTCAAAAAGTTGCTGTTGAAAATTTCGTGTCATTTTGACATTTTTTTTTCAGGGATTGTCTAGAGGAGAGGGGGCGCACCAGCCCCGTTCGCATTTTGAATGGGACGCGTGGCTTGAAAAGTTTTGGAAAAGATTTTCGGACGCCAAGCAAGAAGGTGATCACTGGTATTGTTAGGATTTTTTTTTTGAGTGCGCACAGTAGAGTGAGAGTGCGCCATTGGAGGCGAGGCCGGTGAAGCAGCTGTTGGCGGCGCGCACATCAATCGCGGCCGGGGGCGCTAATGAATGCGCGCCTTATGGATCGCAGGGTGATTCGGCCGAAGAAAGTGGAAGCCTTATTTGCTTGTCAGCTTTGTCATCAGCAATTTCACTTATTGATCACCGTGCGTTATCGCTGCATACTGCGTTTACACTCCAGGGGACCAACATTTTGAACACTTCAATGTCTCCACACCCCTCATTTACCACATTTCAAGTCTACACACCACTAATTTGCCATCATTGATGTTTAAACACCTCTGCTGTAGCATCTTTCATGTGTCTAATTGAAGATAACTCTGGCTTGACACCCTGACCATGTCTGCACTCCCTAATTTGAAACCTTAAACCTCGTTTGAAACCCTAACCTGGACTTTAAACCCCGATTTGAAACCCTAAATTTTGTTTAAAAGACTAACTGGGCTTGAAGCCCGAATTTGAAACTCAAAGCCTCATTTGAAACCCTCCGGTCGAAACTCTAACTTGACACCCTAATCCTTGATTGGAAACCAACGATACTTAGGGAAAAAAAATAAAAAAGAAACTGACATCATTAAGTCCTCGGCAGTAGCTGGCAAAATGTGACACACTAGAGAATCATCATCCGTGTCGGAAAGAAATATTTTGTTCACATTTTTTGGTCATTGTGTTCAATGAAGTTGTATGCATCAAAAGTACGAGAGGGATTGGTTTTCAGTATCGTGAGTCCTCAAAGAGAGAAGAGAGCCGTTTTCTCCGGTGCTATTTCCATCGGCTAAGATTGTGAGAAAAGACGTGAGAAGAACTTACGTGGGTACGTGTCCCTCAAAGACGTACGTCTTGTTATCCCAGTCGTCCGGGTCGGGCGCGTACACCTTTCCCAGCACGGTGGTGGGCATGCGCCCTGGAAAAACAATTCAACAAAATAACGATTAAATAATGACACTCTCTCTCTCTCTCTCTCTCTCTCTCTCTCTCTCTCTCTCTCTGTATGCCAACTTGAAAACTTCTTTTAAAAGCCAAACCCTTGTTTAAAACTTTGAAGCCCTAATTTGGAAGCCCTTTTGAAAGCATAACATTTGCTTGAAACTCCAACCATTTCTTAAAAATTTGAGAAAATCTTGCTTGTAGGATGTGAAACAGAAAGTACATGTTTGTGTCTTTGTTTTTTTTTTTTTTTTTGGGTGCAGACGCGTACACCACAGGCCAAAATCCCCCCCCCATGCGAGAGACTTGAAGGGGAGCACAAATAGCCATCCAACAGGAGGAGTTGAGGGGACGACGGCGGCGTCTGATGCGCGGCTCAAAGGCCTCCTCGCCACTACGAATTTGCCGATTCCAACCGCGGCCGCATCGTCCCGACGGCGCTTTGGCGCGATGCGGGCGGCGGAACAATAAACGGCCGAGCCGCGCGTCCAATTGAGCGCGCCGCGGGAAACCTGCCGGCTGATGGACGATCATGAAAATGTTGACGATAATGATCGGAGGAGGGAAACGCAATCAAAACGCAGCCATTGCCTTTCATTGCCGCATCGTGACGGGAGCTTAATTAGTGGGGAGAGGCCGCGGCTTCGTTGATTACAGCTGTGCTAGGAGGACAAAAGGAGAGAGACGCCATCGTTCTGTCGCCGAATCGCCACGTCCCTGCCGAGTGAACTCAAAGGTCTGTCAGAAACTTGACGCTTTATCAAATCCAAGACTTCCAATGAACTCAAACTCAGTACCAATAGTGTCTGCTCAGGATTTCATGATTAATAAATCATTAAGAATTGTCAGAAACTTTCAATCTAATGTAATTTTTTTGAATTGATTAATAGTAATTTATCATTTAAAAAACTTTTTTAAAATATATATTTTGACACTTTTTTTTTGAATGAAAAGAACTTGGGGCTCAACCAATATGGATTTTATTGAGACCACCATCGAATTTTGTATTTGGCAGAGTAAAATCCGATAACCGATTAATCGGCCAATTAATTGGGAAAAAAAAAAAAGGAATCAAATAAAATGTTTTTTTCTCTTCATGCTGACAGCAACGAAGGGATGGAAGTTTGTCTGAATACTTTGTCCTTAGTATTTTTTTTTTCTGCCACAACCTGCTAAAATTATGGACTGTTATGCCATGCTAATGCTAAACTCCAAAGCGCCTCTTCCGGGCGCGTTCCACTCCGATGAAAAGGCGCTGACCTCTGTACGTGTTGATGAAGATGGTCTTCTCTCCGCCATCGTGCGGATGGTCGTTGTAGTCGCCGATGGTGACCGTCAGCGTGCCGGTCACCGTTTTGGCGGGATGGCCGCTGTCGCTCATGACCACGGGGATCAGGAACTCCTTCTGACGCTCGCGGTCGAACGTCCGCAGCGCCGTCAGCGTGGCCGTTCCGTTCAGGTTGTCCTTCAGGTAGAAGTCGTTACCGTGGCGATAGTCAGCGGGGACAGCGAAATGGAAAGGCGCGCCGTTCTCCAAGGAGTCTCGATCCACAGCCCAGAGCAACGTGGATGTCTGGTTCATGTATACAACCTGACCCCCCATGCCCCCCGCCCAAAAAATGTCATCAGACAAAAACTGTATTCATTTGGGATCTATTTTGTGATCCTATCTTTAGTTAAACCTGCTTAAACGGGATGTGGGTGTACTTCCAGTCACATGTGCTTAAACAGGATACAGATGCAATTTCGGTCCAGAATGGAAAAATGGGAAGCATGTACCTTCAGTTATATGTGCTTAAACAATGTGTGTGTGTGTGTGTGTGTGTGTGTGTGTGTGTGTGTGTGTGTTTGTGTGTATACCTTCAGTCATATGTGCACAGACGGGCTGTGTTGGATGCATTTTGACAGTTTCGCCAGTAGGCAATCCTACCTGAGGCCCAGGAAGGTTCTCAAAGACCACCGGCGCGTACACAGCTTCAAACTGCGGCCCGTTATCGTTGACGTCCAGGAGGGGGAGTTCCACGGTGGCACTACCCGACAAGGCGGGCACCCCGTGATCCGTGGCGATGACCACCAGGTGGTGCTGGGCTACCTTCTCCCGGTCCAGAGGTCGGGCCACCGTCAGGACGCCCGATTGGTCCACGGCGAAGAGCCCGTCCGGGTCCGAGTCCCGAGAGAGGCTGTAGACCAGCTGGCGGTTCTGACCCGAATCCGAGTCGCTGGCCAGCAGGCGGGCCACGATGGTCCCCACAGTGACGTCCTCTGACAGGGGGCCCAGAGACAGGAAGTGAGGGATGAAAACCGGGGCGTGGTCGTTGTAGTCGTCCACCTCGACCGCGCAGTGAAGCAGGCTGGAAAAATCCAAGTCTTCAACCTGGAATGACAACAGAGTCGCATACGTCACATCCGTGCCACAGATTGCGGAGCGACTTTGTCACTTTTTCAAAGAAACTTTCAAGACAGCCAAAAATCTGTCTTGAGACATGAACCATGTCTTGAAACGCAACTCAAGTTACGTGAACTTGAATGGGAAGGGACGGGTGGCGCCAGTACCTTGATGGTGAGGTTGAACCTCTGCTCGCTGTGTCTCTCGTAGTCCAGTCGTTTTTTGAGTCGGAGGCTTCCCCGCTGCTCCAGTTTGTTGCTGACCATGTAGAATTTTTGCTCCTGGTCCCCGGCCACCACGCTGAAGGTCAGCTGGCCGTTTTCTCCCGTGTCTCGGTCCTCGGCCCTCAGCTCCAGGACCTCGGGACACACAAGTCCTTGCAGTGACACACTTGGATGAGGCTTACTTAAAACCCAATTCCTACCTGGAGACCGTCACGCATCCCGCCCAATTCAGGCTTGAAAGACAAATGTGGAAAACCTAAACCCTAGCTTCAAACCCTTCTTTGAAACCCAATCCCAATCTTTTAAATCCTGGTCTTGAAACCCTAACGCTGTCTTGAAACCTTCATTTGAAATCCTAACACTTGTTCAAAAGCAGGCTTGAAACTCTCCTTTAAAACCTCATCCTTGACATGAAACTCTTTACTCTTTCTTAAAACCATGAGACAGGGTTGAAAAGCCAGTTTGATACCAGCTTTCAGCCGTAACCCTTTCTCAAAGCCATAAAACAGGCATGAAACCCTAATCCGAGGCAATGAACCCTAATTTGAAAGCCCGACTGTGTCTTGAAACTCAAACTCGAAACCCTAATCCCTTTTGAAAACACAAATCCAGGTTTGAAGTTGGAGTTTGAAACCCTAACTGTCGCTTAAAACCTTAATTGGAAACCCCAAATGAATTTAAAACCCTAATTAGATATCGGTACCTGAACTGGAAACTGAAAACCATCCCTACTGTGACGCTGGCGACAAAACGTTTTGGATTTGAATGGGAGAAGCGGCTCAAACATTTGAACAAGATTCACAAAGTCACCGATACGCGCAGTTTGACTTTGAATGATTGATGGAGAACTGACTGCTCCCAAAGTGATTTTTTTGTGTTTTTTAATGCAGGCATTGTATTATGAATTTTTTTTTTTTTTTTTTTTTAATACTGAAGTCAACGGAGTTTGAGCAGCACCCACTACAGAATTGAATACAGCACATTTTTATTCCGTCTTCGTATTTTGGTCACGTTCCGAGCTGCATCCCGCAACTATTCCGGACGGAAGGTTTGGATCTGACTTATGTACAGTTTGGTGCTTGTTCATCCGTCTTGAACTCCCCCCCCCCACCCCCCCGCCTCCCCATCGCAGAGTCGAGAACTCAAAGCAAACGCTTAAAGGGAATATAAAAGCAGCAGTGCTTTTTTTGGGCTCCTGAGCCAGGAAGAAGAAAAATTATTTCGGATGAAAAAAAATCACCCCCCCCCCCAACCTCAGCTTTTGGATTACATTTTTAATGTCAGAAAACGTCAAGTAAAGTTTGACTTTGTGGAGTTTTTGTTTGGATGCATACACATCAAAATAAAAGTGCACTCAGGGGTGAGGAGACGATGCCAAGTTGCAACGTTTAGCGTAGGACTGAGTTTATTTAATATGATTAGATTTTTCAACCTGACATACTTGAGAGAATGAGTCAAGAATCAATCCGTGCAATCAATCAATTATAGGTCATTGTTACAACAAATAAAAAAAATAATGTTCTCATCAATGAACACGCATATCTCAAATTAAAATGGTTTGCATTTGAAAAAGTAGAATGCTAACATGCGAAAAGGTGCAACGTAAGCATACAGTCAGAAAGTTAGCAACCAGAGTACACAAATGGGGGGGGGGGGCACAGTGTTGGATCTGGAAAAAAAAAATCTCCACAGGACATAGCGACATAGAAAAACCAAACAACAGATCTGAAAGGCTTGAAACGAATGTGGGAGGTTGCAGCGTTACGCTATCCGCCTGATTGCAATGCTGCTGAGACGAGATCGATAGAACAGTTGCTATTGTTATTATTTAATAGTAGTCCAGATATTGCAAAGACAGACCTCGATGGATTTTATATTGTGCCTTTCGAGTCAGATATGATTGCAAAAGGCTCTTGAGATCGGATAACATGCTAACGGGCTCACAGTTAATAAAAAAGGAACTCCAAGACATCACATTGCTTGCGAGACCGCGTAAAATGCTAACATGGTGGCATTTGCTATGGCAAGTTTGAAATGAATTGACAAATTCCTGCTGGCTTACCTCCGCGTTGGGCTCCGCGTTTTCCGAGATCCTGGCCAGGCAAGCGTGTTCGACGAACCGGGGCGCGTGGTCATTGACGTCGGAGATCTGAACGGTCGCCGTGGCCGTTCCCACCATGCCGCCTCCGTCCCTGGCCTCAACCACCAGGACGTAGGACTCCACCTGCTCCCGGTCCAGGCCATCCAAGGCCACCTACGTCAGTGATTTCAAATAGGTGTGGCAATTGACGCTCAATGTAAGTCGCTTTGATGACAAAGCGATACAATTCAGTCTGAAGTCATTGAAGTTTATCGTTCAAACGAGCAATTGGAAACAAAAGCTGAAAAAAACATTGCGTCGGACATTTTAAAGGGACATCTGCCAACAGAAAAATGGAAATCGGAATTGTACTTTCTTAAAACAAGCACACTTTACAGTAACTAGCATAGCCAGCCTTAAAAAAAAAGTGTAAACGTCGATTGTCTTCATGTGAGTGTATTTCTGTTGGCTGCGATGCTTCCAGTGTGTGAGGCAGTCGTGGATGGTAGAATTATTATTATTTTTTTTTTCCATTTAGATTTCCGTCTCTGTGTCAATGCAATCTTCAGGACTTGAACTGATTTCTTTAATCAATCATATTTTAAATTCACCTCACAGACGAGCCGCAAAAATGCCAGTCTTTCATTTTTTTTTCCTGTGATTGCAAACAAATCTTGTTGCAGTCAACTTCGACGAGCAAACCCTATTCGCAGCGATCTGCACCAAGAGTGAATGTTATTGGGCCCCGCCCTCCCCTGCAAGTAGTAAAATTGCCTCTCGATGCCACGCGATGGCATCAAAGCAATACTTTTGCCTGAATGAAGTGATTCAACTCACTTCAACCTAGTTCCTTGGCACCATGGGGCCACAAGGTGGCGCCAAAGACATTTTATTTGAGGTATTTTTGCACTTTGCATTTTTACAGTTTCGGCCTTAAGAGATTTAAAGTGAACAAAAGCACTTTTTAAACACATTGGAAACTTCAACGCAACGTTTGCGTACTTTTGCATCAATGGATGCTTGCTGGGTTTGTCGGCGGACGAAACAATGAAAACAAAACAAACCGTGATGGTGCCGGTCGCCGGGTTGATGGCAAACATCTCGGAGAAGGCGGGAACGCCCCCCGTCGCGTCCAAGCCGCCCAAGATCCTGTAGGACAGCACGGCGTTCTGGCCCACGGCCGCGTCGTCCAGGTCGGTGGCCGTCATCTCCATCACCGACGTGCCGGCCGGCGAGTTCTCGGCCACGTCGCCGTGGCAGCTGGGCGCGCAGGTGAAGACGGGCGCGTTGTCGTTGATGTCCCACACGTTGATGATGACGTCGGTGAACCCCGTCAGGCCTTCGCCGCCCTCGTCCGTGGCCAGCACCACAAAACGCCACACGGCGCGCTCCTCGCGGTTCAGCGTGCGCTGGGCGTAGATCTTGCCCGTCACCTCGTCGATGATGAACTCGCTCTCGGCGCCCTGGCCGTGGAGGGAGTAGCGAAGAGCCTCCTGGTCGGCGTCCTTGTCCGGGTCCGACGCTGTCACCTGCCAGAAGAGCCCGTCAAAGGTCACACTCGAGCGGGAGCGACAGCTGGACTACAACCCGTGAATAAAATACATTGAATGATGCCGGCAGCATCCCCTCAGGCAAATTGCATACAACGAAATCAACGTGTTTGAAGGATTTTAATTGGACTCATTCATTTTTTTTTTTTTACATTGGTCACAACACGTCATCAAATTTCGTTTACTATCATTGCATCTATCTTGACCTACGTTAATTGCATTTATTTTAATTTAGTTCACTTTAATTACATTTTTCTATCCATTGCCTTTAGAACAGTTGTTCCTAGTGCTTAGTGGAGCCGAGCCCCAGAAAATAATTAAAAACACAGCAAGGACCACCATTGCACCAATGAAAAAAGAAAAATCGTAGAAAACAACGCAACAGGAACAATAACAAAACAACTGAGACAAAACATTTGATTTCCTTTTCTTGTGTTTTGTTTGATTCAATATTTGCTTAATATTTAATATCATTGCATTTTATTCATGAGTTGTGTTCAACTTTACTGCATTGGATTGCAACGAAATCCGTTCAAACGTAGTTTTTCTTTCATTTACTTGACGTTGCATCTTAGCGACTGCAATTGTTGACTATTTGATTGGATGTTTTGCGTCTAACAGTTGCTAAAATAGTCAAGAGGTTTTCTCTCGGTTTTGCATGCACACATGTCGCTAGGCAGAAGTCTTGAGACGCAATCATATCTGGCCCACTGAAAAAAAGAAATGTTCGATGGATCACACTCCAGACAACTTTTAATATTGGTTGAAAAACAGCAAAGTAGCAAACGTCATATCACCTTTCAATCCATTTGTCTAATATTCACTGTTCAAATTTAATAGCAATCAGACAAAATCTCTGCGACAAGTTTGTCTTTGGAGGACTCCTGAAAAAGGTCAAATTGATCCCAAAACGAAAGACATCTCATGTCTTTCCGGAGACACCTTCTTGAGACTTTTTTATGGGTGGACTCCTGATAGATGTGCCTACCAAACTTCATATTGTTCAGTGAAATTGGGGTTCATTTTTTCCCCCTAAAATTCTAGGGGGCGCTAGCCAGCCAACATTTGGAGAGCATGAAAAATCCACCGACCAAATGTGGGCGTTTACCAAGATGAACAAAATGGCTCCAAATTGTGTTACTGTTTGCATCCGTTTTTTCAAAGTGGAACTTGATGAGCTTCCTTCCTTTCACCAAGGGGGAGAATCGCATACCTGTAAGACGAAGACGGGCGAACCATCCAGTTCCTCTGTCACGCTGCCGTAGTATTCGTTGACGGTGAACACGGGCGCTTCGTCGTTCTTGTTGACCACGTTCACCGCCACCGTGGCGTAGTCCTCCCACTTGCCGTCGGAAGCGAGAACGTGCAGCTTGTACCTGAAATGATGAGACGACCATTTGAAGCATCTTCATGACGATCCAAAGGCTTGAATAACAAACGAAAAAATCTTGAGGTGCCCTCAGACTTTTGTCAAGTCTAAAATATCCAGTAAATAGAAATAGCGGTCGTGTGGGGAAAAACAAAAAAAAAAATTGTAAACAAAATGTTTTGTTTTTATTCTCATCTCAATTTGGAATGCTGTTCGTCTACCTTTTGTTCTGCTCGTAGTCCAGAGGCTGAGCGACGAAGATGGTCCCCACTTCTGGTTCCACGTCAAACACACCTCCCGTGTTTCCAGACGTGATTTGGTAACGTAGTTTGGCATTCCCGCCTGCGGAAGATCACAAAAGCGTCAGCGAAATGGTTTTCGCTCACTCAGACGGACTCATTGATTTCCCGAGAGGCGGCGGCGTCCTTGTGGGAAGCGCTCGTCTCTGAAGCCGTCGCCCGGTTGCCAATCGGCCGGACAGTCGGTGTTAATGGAGAGCATTAGTGCACGTTAGCGGGAGGACGCGCCATCAGATACCAGGCTCGCCTTGCCAGACAAAAGGCGATTACTCCGACTTGGCATGTGAAGAGCCGCTCGTGATGAGAAATCCATCGGAAGTTTATCTTTCTGCCTGACTGTGGAAACGCTCCACGGAACCACCGGTGGAGGTTTTTAATGGAACTACAAAGCTACAAAAAAATATATATCGTAATATGAATGCAATGAAATGCTCTGAATCTCACAAAGTTGGGAAATTGACCAGCATTTGATGGCAGTTCAAAGCGCAAGAGTCTTCGACCGATTCAAATCAAAATGGCTGACCTCTTTTTGCGCATGTCTTCTGCAGACTTTTTTATTTATTTATTTATTTATTTTTAATTTTGTGGGACTACTCATGAAAGGGATGCTTTCCAAATTTCATGTTGCTAAAAAGAGTATGGCCAAGACCTAAAATGGTCATTTCATTTGGTCAAAGGGTACTAAGAGTACTTTTTGGACGATACTGGACAACATTTTTAGGGTGAGTTTGTCTTTGAAGGACCTCTGGAAAGACCAACATGAGCCAAAAATGGGCCGCTTCGGAGCAAAACAGCCAACTTCCTGTGACTTTTTGGAAATGTCGTCTTCATACTTTTTTTGTAGCACTGCTCATGAAAGGGATGTCGACCAAATTTCATGCTGCTACATGAGACTGGGAACGGCATCGGTATGGCAAAGACCTGAAATGGTGTGTTGATTTTGGCCAAAGAGTACTAACAGCCGAGAATGAATGCGTCAAATCAAAACGGCAGACTTTCTGTGTATCGCGGGACATCATTCCTTTTGACTATTTTGTGGGTTTGCTCATGGTGGACATGCCAACCAAATGTCATGTTGTGGAGTGAAACATGGCTGAACGCTCAAAGATATTTTAATAAAGCTCTTGTGTCGGTTCCCATCATTAGATCACGCCAATAAAGTGTCCTCTGAGCGCAGATATTCACGTGTCCATTCTGAGCAAGACTTTTTTTTTTTTTTTTTCATAAAATGTCCTTTTGCCACTGAGTGCCGCCACTTCATAATTTCGCTTGGAAAACATTTTGAACTGTTTTCATTGTGTTTTCATTCAGGGTCAAGCGGGAATTTATCTGCATTCATGAGAAGCGCGTATTTGACCTCGCGGTTGGGTCAGCGGGGCCAATGCAGCGAATGTAAAGCTTTGGCTACACTTCACAAGGTCTGCTTGCCTTTCAACCACCAACGTCCAATCAGTACGTCCTTTTGGAGCCCACAAAAGTGCATTCTGATGACATGTAATTGTGCTTGCGGAGGCATCGTTGAGGTGAATTTGTCCCCTTCTTTCACAGCTATACAAACTATTCGGGGCCTTTTTAACACATCGAAACATGTTTTTGCGAGTTGCCCTTGAAGACACAATGAGCAGTTGCCGCGAAGACAATCCATCACCTAGACAGACGAGGCAGGCATACTTGGAAAAATAAACGTTGGGCGAATCAACCTGTGAGAGGAAAAATGAAAAATAAAACTGCTTCCAAACAAGCAATGCAAGTGGAGTAAAATGGCTACACGTTGATCATGTAGCTCATTTAGGACAAATTAATTCATCAAGTAAACTCATCATGTGGAGCGAGTCTGTCATTTCTGTTTTTTTTTTTTTTTTTGCTTGTGGAAAAACAACGTCAATCACTCCCCCCCACCCCCCAACATTTTGAAGGCTTGCTTATTAAGATTGTAATGCTGGAAATACACTTCTGAGAAATTGTAGCCACTAGTGAATACATGAAGGAAACGCGAAGGGAATATTAAAAAAAAAAACAGTTGGCTTGCAAACGGGTCAATGGGAAGGGTCTGCATTTCAAGCCAAAGGCGGCAAAGCTGTGTTTAGCTGTTATGCTTCACGCAAATGGATCCAAGTTAAAAGTAGGACTTTTTTTATTTTTTCCCCCCGATTCCTTTGATGAAGGTCTTTTAAGCATTTTGGCCCTCCATTTCACTGTACGGTCGTTTTGTCATTTCAAAAAGCTACTTTGCATTTCTTTCCGATGCTTTCAAATGTCTTGACATCTTCTGTTTGTAAATGTGCTGAAATGATGTCAAGTGATGATGTATAAATCAAGTTGCCTTTGCAGCTTTTTTTTTTTTTTGTCTCGACCCGACATGTCTAAATATGCCGTAAAAAGCCCGTGTATGTATTTCCCGTCGATAAAAGAAATCATATAGCTGGGAATGATTGCAATACACAAAGTCCATGTTTTAAAATATGCGCACTAAGTAGATACATCTCATTTCATGTTCTCTTCATCTTGTACAAACTGTTTTTCCGTGCGTTCATTATTATTTATATGTTGAACATCCTTTACTGTCATTGCGGGGGGCTGAACCAGACTTTTTTTTTTTTTTTTTTTTAGTTTGAAGGTCACAATGAAGAGTAGGTGAATGCGAAAGGATGACGACGACGATGATGATTTGCTGCTAAATGTTGTCTGCAACAATAGCGCCCCGCCTCCCTCCTCGACGCCACTCGTGGAATAATGGCTCTGACCCTGCGCGCTTGCCTGCCAGCGAGGTTCCGATGATTGTGTTCTCCTCTCACTTTATTCTGATTAGCATGATGCTAATTCCCAGCACGCAACCACGGCGCTGTGATTCGTTAACACCTGATTGGCCGTCCTCGGTTTAACATAGCGGAAAACGCCGTCTTAATTGCGAACGGCGCCGTGAGGCGAGCCGGCTGTTGGCGGCGTTACTTCCCGTCCACTGACGCCTGTTGCTGCTTCATGCCCAAAATCGATGATGTGTACTCAGAGATAGATTCGCATTCCAATATAGTTGACATTCAAACGTCATGCGTAAAACTCCAAATCGTGAGAGCTGAAAAGGTTTGCCACTGTTCAGTATTTAGTTAAGTGGTTGCTTGTTTGGTTTGTTTGCTCCCTTCTTAGTTATGTGTGTGCAGGTACGTACGGTAGCTTTGATACAGTCGGAAGGTCATTCAGTTGTTGGCTCCTTTGTTACGAAGTCGGTCAGGTTAGAAGCTCGCTAGGTCAGGAGGAGCATGTGACATTTTGTGTGTGTGTTTCATTTTGTTGGGGGGGGGTGTATATGTGTGTGTGCGTGTGTGTGAGACGTGCCAAAATTGGAATTGTTGGGAGCCTCAAATCCGCCTCGTTTTGTAGCGCCTGCCTTTGGCTTACCAAACGAGACGTCGGGGGGATACGTGCAGTCGCAACTTCTCTTGACTTGGGTTCACATTGGGTTCCCCCCTTCCGTTTTCTAATTGTCCGCAGGGCTTGAATATTTGCAAATAACCGTGAGGAGCTCAAGGCCGACAGCCGGCAAGGGATGCTGCGGTCCGAACAAAATCAAATGAGTGTTGGGCTTTTTTTTTTCCCTCATCTCTGGACTCATTTGCAACGTCTCTTCGTTTCCCTGGACAATGCACTTTACGACACACGCACACAAACACGCACACGCACTCGTGAAATTTATAGCAACCATGTGAAATCATGAATAAACATGGAGTCTTTTATATACGGGATGCACAGTCAGTGCGCCCGACGGTAACTAAATCACACATTCAGAAATGCGGGTTGATTGATCTCAAGTTGTGTGAGCTGATCATTTGAATGAGTAGCACTCGAGCGATGGAGTGGAAAGCATGAAAATGCAAGCAGAGTTTGCAAAGCCTGCCCACGTCAACGGGAGCAGTTTCGTCGCTTAGAACGGGCCGACAACCACCGAATGAAAGCAGCAATCGCTCGGGTCATCTTTTGAGCCGTCACTTTTGCAAGTAGCGGTGATGCTAACGCCGTACGTGCCATCGTAAATTTAAAATGATTCGCTTTACATGATAAGACCTATTTATGATTCCGGGTTGGCCCATTTCTTAGGAGCTCACGGTGTTATTTTAGTCTACATTTGTTGAGCAGTGGAATGACACTGTTTGAGAAAAAAATGAAAATCATAATAAATCGATGTTAATAAAATGTCTGGCAATTTAAAGGCAATGAAAAAAATGGTTGGCTGGTCAACAAAAAAGGTTGGGGACCACTGAGGGAAAGCTTTGCCACCCACCCAAGTTTAACCGTGAGATCGGGACAGACTGGACAACCCATTTTGCTTTCCTCGAATGTAATGTCGTCGTGCAAGTTGCGCGAGACTTTCTACAGGCTTGTAAGAGTTCTGCGAAGTAGATGGAGTTTGTCCGCAGGTGTTTTGGACTGACTCTGGCCAGCACGGAGGCTATAATGAGACCTTTTTGAGCGCGAGTATTGACTGGCTCTGGCATTTAACGAGACTACGCTTGTTTACAGAGAGGATTTATTCCAGCTTTTTGCCATCCAACGAACAACCGGGAAAAAAAAAAAAAAAGACTCACTGGCAGCAGTGGGAAGGAGCTCGCGGCGGCCTCTGCCGAACTTGCTGAAATTGTATTGATTTTACTGATAATGACATCCCAAGTGGGGGCTCGCCTTTTTAATCCAGTACAGATGTTCAATTTCAGCTCCGCTTGTGCTCCACATTCACATTTGCATTTCAACCAGCACTTTATATGCCAAAATTCACACGGACAAGCAGTCTTGACATCTTTTTTTTTTTCCTTTTCTTATCATCATGAACTTTGACTTTTTGCTTTGCAAAAGACATTTGCTCGTGGCCGGTGCCCAACTATGCACTTGGGGTGGTCTTCTCCATTACGGTCATGATGATAATTACGACAATTAGCATCAAGGTGGCTCCGTTTCCGAAAGCAGGATCAAGAAGGACCTCCACTTGACCGCCAGCGTAATAAATACTGGCTGGGGAGGTTCTTGAGAAAAAAATTACAACTTCATTCTCACAAGATCGGGCATTTTTTTTTTGATTGATTCGAACATTATTTCAGGGGATATAAAAAAAAAATCCCAAATGGCAGTTTCATTCGAATACAACCCTTTATGGAACAAATTTTGTCTTTGAAAAATACCTATTTTTTTTCTTGAAAAAATCTAACTTGACTCCTGGAATATTATATACTGTGTAGCAATGTTCCGACAACATGACACTATTTTTTCAACCCAACATTTTATTCAACATGACTTCATTCCTGTCAGATTAATTTTGTCTTAGGGAAAAAAAAAATACCCCCTTCCCCAAAAAATACTTTTGTGAAAAAAAAATCTTGTTGTATTGTACATTTTATTAAAATTCCTTGAAGATTACAGCCACTTTCTTGAAAAAAAAAGTAATTCTTCATGACAAATTTGTTGAAAATTTGAGGAAAAAAAAAAAGCAAACTATTACGCCTTTCTTTCCCCCTGCTATCTACTGGAACCCTTGTCCTCGCATTACGAACGTCACATCTCACCTTTTTTCTCTGTTTGTTCAGGGGTGAATTTTACAATGCGAGCCCGAGGGCACTTTGACATCAATTACAGTCGGCGGTGGAGGGCGGTACAGGACAAAATGGCAGCGCCGTGAGGTCGACAAAAATGGATGGATTCATCTGTTTAAGTCTTATTTGACAAATTATTCATCATAAAACCGTGTTGAGACAAGAGGGGGCCACATGAAACACCCCTCCAGAAAATCGTGGTCAGTCTGGCTTGAGCACACGGTTGTCACAAAAATGGTGCTGTAGTGGACTGACGGGGGTTGTCAGTGGACAGCGACAAGATGCTAACGGCGCAAATGAACATTTGGCCAACCTCGCCGGTCCAAAGAAAGGTGCTGCGAGCCCACGGGGTGGCCTGCGTTGGAAGGAAGCCGACATTAATAGATCATAATTCCAACGATGTCGGACGAGGAGTGGCGTCGTTCAAGCCCCAGAGCGATAATATGGCCGAGTCATCATGTGCGCCTTATTATAGGCAGGGGGACTGGAAAGGTCAGCCGCTTGTTGGGTTTCTAACATTGCGATATAGAAGTGTTTTGCGCTCCTCAGGCTACAAGTCGTGATCTTGCTGAGAGAGTCGAAGGCTCCCAAGGTGCCGCCATCAGCGACACTGTTCTGGGGCAAGGAGTGGCAACATCAGGCAGAACGCCAACATTCATTTGAGACTTTGGTCCGGACTGATTTGTGCGCACTCGTTTCGAATGCGTATGCACTCGGCTTGTTCAATATGCACACAAGTCTAATTTGCCCATTATAACATCTGACTAAATGACGGCGTGCGTAGCGCAATGACATCGTATTTTTGCTGGATGTCACGCCAATGTACCGTATTTTCTACACCTCTAACATGCCATCTATGCCACGTTAACACTCTTAACGAGCTTCTGCTGTAGCAGATGTGCAGAATGGCTATACCTCCACGTTGACATCAATTTCGAGAAACCCATCATACTACTGCTTGCATAGCTTTTTTTTTTTAAATCAACCCCGTTTGCCTGATATTCAACGTAATATTTCAGAATGTGTCCGCCTGGAGTCTGCCATATAATTCCCATGTACAGCATGTACTTTTCATGTATGACATAGACTGTTTATTTTATATCCATGTCTGTCTAACAGAGCTCATTTATATCAAATTTATTCAAAGTCCAATGTACCGCGTTCACTTTGACGTACCTGCAACATTTTGCGTCACATTGAATGCCCCATGACCCTACGGTATTTAACATTTCCGTATGATGGCTACACACCGGTATTGTGCATCAAACGTACCATACTTACCTCATATTTGATGCTGACGCGCCTCTCGAGCGCATGTGCATATCATATTTAGTGCAACCATCATGCATCATAGTTTTGACCGGATTTATTGGACCATATTTAATGCTTATGTAACTTTGATGTACGACATTCACATCATGTTTAATGCTGCTTATTAATCATGGATCATATTTACTTATTTGCTGTACCTGCCATGCATGATATAGGATGTAATGTGGAGTTGCACCTTCGTCTCCGTCGTTGGCGCTGACGGTGAGGACGGCAAATCCCACGTCGGCGTCCTCATCCGTGTCCACCTCGTACGCGCTCTGAGCGAAGGCCGGCTCGTTGTCGTTGACGTCGCTGATGAACACGCGAACGTACGCCGTGTCTGAGAGTGACAAGAACAAACACTTAAGGATCGGAACATTAGTACTTGATTCTTGGGCCGGGAGGGAAAGAAAAAAAAGGCGGTAAATTATGATCAATTCAGGCCTTTTTCGTGGTCAAACAGCCAGGAAAAAAAAAAATCCTGTTTTTTTTTTTTGGTTTTTTTGTTTTTTTACAGTTTCAAAAACACAGCTTTAGTTTCAATATAATCTAAAGAAAATACTTTTTTGAAGTCTTGAAATTTTCTTTCTTGGAAAAAAAAGACAAGTTGTCTTAGAAAATAAAATTATTGCAAAAAATAACGATTTTCTTGTGATATCACACATGTTCAACTTTATTATCGCTTAAGAGTTTTCCTTTTTTTGCTTTTAAAAAAAATGCAGTATGATTCTCAAGACATAATTTTTTTTTCAGAACTTCTATTTCTTTCCTGCAAATAAAACATTCTTGCTTCTATAACTGTTTTTTTCCATCCAAAAAAAAAGTCACTGTTCTTCAAAACGTCTGATATTATTTTTATAATAACACGCCATATTCATGAAAAACATCAAACTTTAGTCTTAAAAATAATGACGAGTTTTGGAAAAATACAATTTTATTTTTGTAAGAATCAAAATGTTTTCTTGAAAAGACATGACTGTGTTCTCATAACACTGAGCCGTTTTTTTTTCTTAAAAAGAACAAAAAAAACCCTGTGTGACTGAAAATCATTCAACTTCATTCTTTAGCATTACACTTTCACTCTCGTAAAAACACGTTTTTTCCTTTCATGAAAAAAATTTGAATCTGCAAATAAATAAATGAATTGATTAATTAATAAAGATTCCAACACATACATACATTCCATTAATCCTGCAAAATGTACAATTTTAGCCAAAACATAAACAAACAAAAAAATAGCCTTCCCTGAAAAATAAATGCCACCTTTTTCCCCAACTCTGTGACCTTCAATTGACCTGACAAATGAACATGCTGCCATCCGGCGTGCCTACGAGTACCAAGGACGCAACAACGACAATAACAAGAAAGGCTTCATAACGGCAGCAAGAAAGATGCTATTCCAAGCGCGGAGTTGTGCCTATTCTGTCACCTCGCACATCTGTCGCTTTGCAGCCAGAACACAAAGTAGTCGCAAACGTGTTCACCCACGCCGACGCGCACCAAAATAACTCGAACCGTCCTCCCTTCCATTTCCCGCCTCTTGTCTGTTGAGGAAAACACATAGACGGATGAGACTTTCCCACTAGCCCGGGCTTCAAACTTCTTTCCATGCAAGAAGTTGACTTTTATTATTATTATTAGTGTTTAAAATACAAACTGTGAAAATTTCTTATGGAGTGAATGGCAAATGGCATGTCAAAATGCCAATGATGTTCAACTTGAGCCAATGTCACTTACGACGCATTTCTTAGTTTTGTAACTGTAAATAAATGCTTGTTTTGCCACCATAAGCCCTTTTCGGTCTTGTTTTAGTTGTTCCCGGGTTTGAGGTGTCAGCACTCTGCTTTATGTGTTTCTCTTCATAATAAATTTAAAAAAAAAGTAAAAACAAAAAATATCCTTTTCTTCACTTTTGGGTAAGAAACAAATTTTTCTTTTGGGGGGGGGGGAGACTTACCCACGTGCTCCTGCGCAAAAGTGTATAAAAAATGCAAAAACACTCGTGAAACAGGAGCATCAACGCAACTCTTTTTGGTCTTTTGACTGAGATCTCAAAACTGTTGACTTTGCCTCTCTACATTTACATATTTACATCATCATTATCTTAGGAAGTTGAAAAATCAAGCCGGTTTCGACAAAACAAGGAATGGGAGCTACAGATATTTGTTTTTAAATGTAGGGGATTCAAATGAAAAAGTCTCACTACTAAAGTACACTTAGCAAGTACAGTATTTGTACTTTGTTACTTCCCACCACTGCCTGCCACAGGGACTCATCGGTTACAGGGCATAAAATAAGCCAATAAACCCAAAGTAAAAAACATGGAAGGAACCTTGGGGATGGGGCGGAGCTCAAAGCGCCCTGTGGTAGACCGGCCTTTGATAGCGTCGCATCATTTGCACTCGGCGAGATGGAGATGAATAATTTAAGGCACGGCATGGGAAGATGGCGCACAACAACGCAATGAGATGTTGTCGGAGGCGGGGGGGGGGAGCAAAAAGTGGCATGAAGCAGCAGAGCAGCCGCCTGTTCGCACTCCAAACATTCACACCGCAAAGTGTAAAGCGACAGTTGAGAGAGTTATCTTTTGATACGAGCGCTTTCTGTAGGCTTTTTAGAAACTGAGAAAAACATCATTCGGAAGGAGGAATACTACCAAAGATGAAGGTTCCATCGTGGCATATCTTGGCCACAGTGATTATTCAAGAGGAAATGAAAGGCATTTAAAAAAAATAAAAATAGCGACGGCAAAAAGAGACTGTGGAGCAAAACATCCTTTTCCGGTTAGAAAACCTCCAAAAATTGGGGGATGGTCAATGGAGGCCAAAGTTTCATCTTTCTAAGCCAGCAACAAATCGTGACGGGCAGAACAATGAACTGTTTTTTTCGACAAGACCAACTGTAACAGTAGCACATGATGTTGGGAGGGACGACTATCTGCTCTCATTCAAGTTCAAGCGCATCATAAGCAATCTCTCGCTCTCTCGCTCTCAGTTAAAATGTAATCAGCACATTTTTGGCGGAAGATTGTCAGCGACTGTCATCTGTTCGCCAGCTGGCACGGGGCCGACTCACCAGATGCGTAAAGTTTACGCGTGACAAACTCGGATGGGAATGAAAATGAGTTCTTCTTCAGGTTTGTTCGCGTTCAACGCGACCAGTCGTTTGTTGTGTGACGTGTTTGACATTGAGACTATTTTAGCCGAGCCGAGGATTTCGAGAAGGGCCTAGGCTCATCTAGGATGTGGTGATCAAAAGCATATTGTCCTCCGCCCTCGCCTTCCTTCAACACCTCTCTCCGAGCATCCGTCTGGCCGAGCATCTGCCGTCCGCATGCGCTCGGTCGGTCGGGACCAAAGCGGCACGTATGCGCTTCATCTGTCGCCGCGGAAATAAATGGAGCCTTAAATGAACTGCAGCTGTCCAAGCAGCCGACAAAGATCCAAAAGCGCCGTCTCGTTGCTCAACGGCACAGGTGGGAGTGTCGGTCTTTAAGATGCAACCTTCGACTTTCCCAAGTTACCAAATCTCAAGCCAGTCGAGTGGAGTCAAATCATCACTTGGGTGAAGCAAGTCAAACGATACAATCTTACTCAGTCACGATAAACACCGCTCTCCAAAAATTAGGAGTGACGTTTTAGGATGAATTCCCAAGGACTCCACTGCTATGCCTTTCCGGGATGCGGTAATCTTTTTTTTTTTTTCCCCATACCTCTGTTCTAAGGTCACGGTTTGGTTCACATTCTGAAAATGGCCAACATAAAAGTGTTTTTTTTTTTTTTTTTTTTTTTTTTTGCGAGCTGGAGCGGACTTGATGACTTCAACTGCTGGAAGTGCAACAATCAAAACTGAATGCTCCTGGATTTTCGCACTGACTGATTTTAGCGTTTTTATTTGCTTGTGTTTCCAGGCTCCAAAGCACACTTTGTCAAGCCACAACAACCCCCTTCTTATCGGCAAAGTTGTAAAGCGACAGGTGGCGCTCTAACATCTAAGCCTCGGGACATTTGGGCCAGACAAGAAATCTCGCTTTCTGCAGCGTAAAACAAACAATTGGCGTAAGACCGGACATTTGAACTTGGATTTAGCTGTACTTGTCGCGTCATCAATGGATCACATTCATGTCGTCTGCCACTGAAGCATCCAAATTTCTTCTTTCATATTGATGCAAAAGAAAAGCCATGAATGGGTTGCTTCTTTCACTTGGAACATCGACAAAGGTTCTGGCCGCATCAAGAGTTGCCGAGTCGTTCCTCTTTATTCTCAACGAGGCAAAAGATGAGTTGATGCATTTTTTCAAAATTTCAAGCCAAGTCCATCGGGGAGGTGGGGTTTTTTTGTCCTTCAAAGTATCGGACAGACCGCGCACTTTTGAAGTTTTTGAAGCACGTTCAAAACCAATTAGCGTGTTTCAATACGCTTTGAGCTTTGACTTTGCTTTGCTAATAGTGCATTCGGCTATGACGAAGCAAGCTTTAAGTCAAGCAATTAAAGAGGACCAGTTCTCACCAGAGTTGGGCTGTCCGTGTTTGCCGGGCCTGGCCGACTCCCAGCCGTCCACCGATTGGACCTCCAAGAGGTAGGAACTTTTGGTCTCGCGGTCAAAAACAGCCTGCGTGTAGATGAAACCCAGCTCGGGGTCGATGCGAAAATATTGGTGGTCCCCATTTCGATCCTCGAGCAGCGAGTAGGCGATCTAGAAGAAAGACAGTATTTATGGTGCGAACATTTGTTCCAAAAACAAGTGTGTGGGAGCGCAGGGTTTCACCTTGCCATTGAGGCCCAAGTCCAGGTCATTGGCGGACACCTGAAACACCAACGTTCCCGATTGGGTGCCCTCGGTCACCGAGGCCTCGTAGATGGAGGATGTAAAAAAGGGGACGTTGTCATTCACATCTGCAAAATGGCCGGGAATGGCAACTTGGATTAGTTTAACGTACATTTGACCGTACGCCTGTTTTGGTGTTTGGTTTCGAGGCTAGGATTGGGGTTAGGGGTGGTGGTAGGGGGCTCGGGATATAGGCGAGGGTTAGGGGTGTGGCTCAGGGGGTAATAGGGCTTGGGTTTGGGGCTACCTTAGAGTTAAGGACTAGCGTTTAGTGCTTAGGAGTGGAGGCACCAGGGTAAGTGGTCTGGGTTAGGGTTAGGGCCACCAGGCATGAAGGCGGGGCTACATATCTTCAGCATATCGTTGCTGTTGGGCCGAAACCCTTTAAAAATTAGTTCAGGAAGATGATGGAACACTGTTGTTTGCTTTGGGGGGCAGCAAGAAAGGCTTTTAGGCTGGTCGGTGGGTCAGCGTTTAAACATGACTTTGGGGTGGCGTGCGTGTTGATATTCGATAGACGATAGCAATAATGCAATGCCCGGTAACTCCAAAAATATTTTTGTTTAATTTCCTGAAAATGTGTCATTTGAGAGGAGACGAGGTGATACCTTCCAATATCGACAGGATGCCGAAAAGGACTTTGGGAGTTGTGGCATTCCACTTTGAATGGCCCAGCGATGAGTGGCCCGAGTTGTTCTGCACCATTATCAATGCGCACGTTGACCTTTTATTCAGCACAACACTTTATTTTTTTGGCATTTGAAAATGCATTTGCAATTACAGAGTGCAACCTTTAGTTCCACAAAAGTTACTCGGACAGTTTGTACGTGACAAGAAGTCTTGCAGCGTCTTTCTTCTCTCGCGTTAGTTGGCCGTGTCCTGACACGTGTTTTATTCTCTTGCTCAACTGTCAAGTTCTGCGGTCGGACCAAAGGCGAAGCTTTGCCGGGCTGTCGTTCAGACTTGCAAGGGCTGCGGGAAGATGAAGCAGCATTTGAACTCCGGACAAGTACGAGCTAACTTGTGGATACGTCGACAGGAGGGCGAAGCATCAAAAGAACGAACGGCTCCGGGTGTCAGCGGAGCGCCCAGACTGAGCCAACGTGAGCAAAACGTCCTACTCTTTTCCACTACTGGACTGAAATATTCCACTCAATGTTCCACTCGATAAATTATTCCACTCGGGAGGTCCCTTTGCTGTCACTCCACTAAAGACCTTTCCGGTCCAGTCTGTGGGGAAAGACAAAATATTTTTGCAATAAACGGGACATCAATGACATCGATCGCCATCATTATATGTAAGCGTGATGGCGAGAGCCAAAGGGTATAAGGTGACAGTGTGGGGTTAGGACATACATCCAAAGTACAAGTAGGGCCTGTATGTTTGACAAGGGCCTCTTGTCGCCGGCGTGACTCCACATTTATCCTTCATTCATCCCGGTGTCAAGATGGTTCACAAAATGAATCGATAGCGGACAAAGCCGTGACACCGGGCCGCCGCGAGCGCAGCCTTGAAGCCGCGTCAACGCAAGAGACGATTGTACAGGGCCAGCGAGCAGGGAGCAGCCCGACCAAACGTGAACGTCCGTTTTTGCCGCTAGTCACAAAAAAAATGGGAGTAGAATTGACTTGAACTGAGCAAGACTGAGCTGCGCATTTCAGTTCGATCCACTGTGAAGGAGGACATGGCCTAACGTGACTGGTCAGGTGACAAAGTCGAAGCTAGTTTTTTTATTATTTCTCGTTGGAATTGGACCATTCGGATGGAGGGCGATCTGCGGGCAAGAGAGCTCAAAGGGGGTAAAAGACAAGAAGCGAGGTCAGCATGAGGTCAGCTGGGGGTGCAGTGTTAAGAGAATGGCCCATCACACCGTTACGAGGTGGGAGGAGTATGGTGAGACCAGGCCAAAGACCAACCTGTGACGTTGACGAAGACAATGGTGAAGGCGGCCAACGGGACGGCGGCAACGTTCTGGGCTCGGACCCTCAGCATGAAGTTACGGGTGATCTCGTAGTCCAGAGGCTCCGCCACAAGGATGGAGGCCGAGCCGTCCGCCCGGTTCGGCGTCAAGTAGAAGCGGACAGGCATGTTGGTCTCCGGGACCATGCCGTCCTCCAGGTTGTACGTCACCCTGGGGTCGCCCAGCGGGGAGGTGGCTTTGATGGTCTGTTTGGAGAGAGGGCCCCCTCTTTTGATATGCACTCACTCAAACTCCGAGCCCAAACCAAAACAGCAAAGCCTAACCCCCTCAACCATCCTGCCTCGTGTCGACTTTTGCATCTGACCAAGATTAAAATGCAAGGTAGGATTCTGCCGCCACCACGGTAGTGTGCCACGGTCTCCGTCTTTTCCAACGCACGCAAGCGCCCACCCGAGAATAACCAATCTCTGTCACGTTAGCTTGAAATTGTATGCCCTGGTCCAGATTAAATCTTTTAATCTATTGCTGCCTCCAGAGACCTGCTGGCACATTCCACTCTTCTACTTAGCGGAAAGCGATCAGCCCCCTGTGTTTTATGGCGCGCAATAACGTAAAGTCAAATATTAAGGCCGTAAATCTCCGGTGAGGCTCCAACCCGCCGGGACCAAACAACACGAGGCGTCCTCACCACTCCCGCCTCATCCTTGCTTGGCTAATTAAGGCGGAAGCAGCAAGCAGAAGACATTGCCATGCGCTCCCAATTAGGCTCAAAAATGCCATCTTGGACAGGACGGCAGTGACCTCGCTGAAGACGGTCAAGCCCCCGAGTGCGGAAGCCGCCGTAATGAGACGCCGGCTGGCAAACGTGCCCGATTAAAGGCGGGGAGAGCTCTCATTTGCGCAGCGGAGGGATTAGCAACATCGCCGGCAGGCTGCGCTGCCATTTCCGACGATCCCATTGGCTCAATGTGAAGACTGCCAAAAAAAAATAAGCATAATAATTAAATCGAACAAAGATGAACTATCACAAAGAAAAAGGCTTGCTCTTCGCCTTGACCGTATTCCACACCACTTGGCCCAAGCCAGCCCTTTAAGCCTCACCCTTTCCGTTTTTCAAACTCTGACCCAAAACAATGCGAGTCATGAAACACTGGCTGGCAAACGTGCCGATTTAAAATCGCAAAGTGTTCCAATTTCCACAAGTTACAGAGTCATTACCACGACGCCGCTTTTCTCATTTCGCTCAGGCCGACTGTCGGCTGCCATTTTGGAGGATCCGATAGCTCGACGTGAAGGACCCTCGGCGACTGCTTTGTTTGCATCCTCGGCGCGCAAATATCAATCAGCGGCTTTAATGGACTTAATTGCTTTGGAGAGACGCTGAGAAAACACTCGTGATTAGTCGAGAAGGCATAAACGGGAGTGCGGATGAATAATGAAAAACGGCTATTAGCGAACATCTGCAACCCGCTAAAAATAACGCTTCCGCGCTTTGCTTTTTGTGTGTTTTCATTTGGTTGCTAAAAGAGCAATCCCATGTGGAAAAGGTCGTCGTTGTTTCCAGGTTCAGCTAATAATTAACCGGTTATGTTTTGTTTTTTTAATAAACGATTGAAGGTTCCCAAATGATGTCCAGGAAAAATAGATGTGGGTTTTTTTTTTCTTCTTCTTTTCAATTAACTTTAAAGTGCAATTGAGGAAGGAAGGTCCGCTCCCTGGAATGCTTACGCTGTGATTACCGTCGAATGTACACAAAGCATGGGCGCGACTCCTTCCATTGCCACCATCTTACAGCTCAGAAACTGGATTCACTTTCATATACCCAAATCGGAGAAGTCAGAAATGTGTTACAGGTAACAATGACAAAATATTTTCTGTGACTGAATGCGAGTACATGATCATAGTTGACCTCATCAAGACAAAATGGCCTTTTTCACTCTTCTTTGTGCAACGGTAGATTGAAAAACGTGGATAGTGATGATCATGATATTAGGTTTCCATGTCAAAAAGTTGAATTTTCTACTGCTTGTTGTACAACAGACAAATAAGATTTGGTGAGCTCTTGAGTATGTGAAGGCCCCTCTTGTTGTACAACAGACAAATAAGATTTGGTGAGCTTTTGAGTATGTGACGGCCCCTGTGGGGGCGGGGGGTGGGGGTTGTGCTGCCAGAGTACAAGCAAGAAAGCATCACGTGCCAATGAAGCTCAGACCTACATTTTCGAGTCAAACAAATGATTAGAATCAAAATTTAATGCTGCGCTTTGCCCACAAACACAACATAAGCAAAAAAAAAAAACCAAACAAACAAAACAAAAATAAAGTCTGGCAATTTCATGTCGCCCATCTGTCTCGAATCCCTGTTTCCATTTGAGGCTTACTTGGCGAATTCCCCAGCTGAAGTGTTGTCAAAGAAAAAAATAGAAGCTTGTCAAATTTGCGTCACTCACCTGATACCTGATTGCGATCGGGGCTTGTTAGTGCCCAAATAGCTCGAAGGACAGTTTGAGAAACATCACAATGGCTATTGAATAGACAGACCTAAAAACCTCGACTCACCCCCACTCACCCATTTTTAATATGCTTATATTTATATTTTCTCATTTAGATTTATATTTTCTCATTTATATTTATATATATATATGGATAGATAGATATATGCGTAGATAGATAGATAGATAGATAGATAGATAGATAGATAGATAGATAGATAGATAGATAGATAGATAGATAGATAGATAGATAGATAGATAGATAGATCTACTTTTGTTCTTCTACTTCTCCCTTTCATTATTTTGCTGCTGTAAATTAGGTTAGGAACTTTTAGTCTTCTTTGTGTGTCGGAGAGTTCTGAGAGTCGGTTTGCCCAATTTTGTGTCGATTCAAGTCAGTGGTGTCTTGACTCAAATAATTCACGAATGAGTTCATGCCTTTTCCATCTATGGAACTGTGCTTGTTAGCGTCGTCACCCTGGTTCTAAAGCGTTCTAAGTGTCAGCTAAGGATAGGCTCCAGCAACTCCCCGCGACCCTGTTCACGTTAAAGGGTGTTCTGTGTTCCGCATTCTGTGGAAAATGTGGAAAGAAAGATTCCCCGGGCAGTGTTTTTGGGGGAGCCTTAACGTAACCAGCGCGGGGACTTACCACGATGGGCGTGTCCCGCACGGTGTTCTCGGGGATGACCACGGCGTAGCTTTCCTTTTCCCACTGCGGCGGCTGGTTTTTCACATTGGTGATGGTGACGGCCAGTTCCACCGAGCTGCTCCGGTTTCCGCCATCTGTGGCCACGATCTCCCGGGTGATGTAGGTCCTCTGAAGCCACGGCGAGAATATAAAATGGAGTGGAGAAAAAAAAAAAGATGGAAAAGTGGATTTGTGTGCTCAAATAGTAGAAAATGCCAGTCAGTCATAAGCGAGGGCTCTCTTTTGTCAGAGGCTGATTGGTAGTTAAAAAAAAGGCAAAAGGTGCACTTTGGTATCCAGCCCATTGAACAAAATACCGTTGAAAGCATGCATTTCCAAATTCCGTGCTTCATTATCATACGCTATTTCTTTTTAACGGTGCCAGTCTGGCAAAAATGACCCATCTTGAGCATCCATCCAAATAACTTTGGCCAACGTCAAGGCATGCATTCCCAAAAGTTGTTGCGTGTCATTTTTCCCATTGAAAGCATGTTTTCGTCCATCAAACAAATTGAGAGTTTCAGTTGCATGCTGGCCAATGAAAATATGCAAGTCACTCAAATACAATCATGCATTTTTTTTATTTTTATTTTTTATGAACACAACATTTTTCCACTAATCATTTAATCATCACCAAATACAACATCGCGGCATTTTATTTTTGGCCCACTAAAAAAGGGTTTTGACCTAGTTCATTTTGACCAATGAAAATGAGGCCTTCGTAATTTTAGCGTAAAATCCAATTTTGGGGTAAAAGCATTTTTTTTTTCTCTGTCTTCAAAGGCAAGCATGGATCTCCAAAATCTGACTAGTTTTGTTTTGGGGTTTTTTTGCATCGCAACTAATCGCTGCACTTTCAAAGCGCGAGTTTTCAAATTTAGCATTTGACTTTTTAATTCTCCAAAACCATTTTTTTTCTTTTGTTGATGCCAAATCATAAAATTCTATTTTTGTGAGGGTTTATTTTTACTTTAACTTAAAACATTCAGCGCCAACTTTTGTGAGTTCCCCAAAAAAATATATCCAAAGGGAGCATGTTTAACAATCACAAATCGTCCCACTTTGGTCGTTTGCTTTCATGTTGCATCTCCATATTAGTGAGTTATCACTTCAGTACCCCATGTTTTTTTTTCTTTAATCATTTCATCTCTAAATGTAATAATTTATAAGTTCTGGACGAGTTGTTTCTGTCAAATAAAAACACATTTTCAATTTTTTTTTCCCATAAAATCCAACTACAATATAGGCCAAAAAGTTGTTTTTTTTTCACAAATGCTTTGAGTCAACTCCAAATTTTGTGAGAATTCAATGTTTTATTTTGTTTTTTAAACACAATCATAACAGCAGTACAAAACATGCACTTCCGAATTGAGTACAAATTTAATCATTTACTTTTTATTTTGTTGGTTTATACTATACGGGACAAATTTCAGTTTTGGGGTGATGTTTTTTTTTTCCTTCTAATTATCACCAATGCTAAACATGCATCACCAAATTTTGTGAGTTTTTTTAATCCCTTGAAATCAAGTCTTTGCATTTTTCATTTTATTTTGATCAAACCAACTTTTTCCAGCAATTGATGATGCTGGATGATTTGCATTCATATCCACTGTCATTCCGATTCAGATCATCACGCAATTGTTTTTTTTTTTTTTTTTATGTATAGTGGAGCAGGAATCCACGATGGCCACTAGATTCTCATCTCCATCTTCCATTTAACGCACTAAGCTAATCAAGCTAATGATGCCACTTGAAAAGCCCTCCAGAGAAACCCTGCAATGTCTTCATCTCAATCAAATCACGTAAGAGGCATGCTAAGCGCAAACGCCCGATGCCGCTCGTCACATTTCCATGCCCGGAGGAGCAAGCGACGCTTTTCTCCCTGATCGCGTAGATGTCTGGTGGAAAAAAAGGCAGCGGGCAAACATCTGATTGTGTCATCACCAGAGTCCTTTCTTCGGCGAAATGAGACGTGGATATTTCCTCAGGCCGCGCACGATTAAAGCCGGGCGCAATCTTTCGGAACAAGCGGCAGCAATCCAAGAAATTGCACGTCGGCGAGATGGTCACAGTGATAAAAGTCCGACGGGAGGAACAACTTCCCGCGGGATCAAATGCACGCGGGACGCAATGTTTTTTTTTTTCAGCCTGAGAAGATATATTTTTAGACTACTCACTACACACTATGATTGTGGAGGATACAGGATACAGCACTTTCACATATTGGAAGAAAATCATCTCGCCCATATCTATGGACATTAACTCAACTCAACTCAAGTGAATTTCTCTCTGATGAAAAGCATCCACTGAATGTCCAAATGTTTCTTTTCATTTCTTTCTTTCCATCCACAACACGAAGGACTCCTATTTGCTTTCTACAATTAACCTGCTGAGAAACATGGACAGTAGTGATTCAATGTGTCACCGTTATGGTTCAGATCTTCGATGAAAAAAAAAAAAAGAATGTTGTGTCCATTTAGCGTGAGTGCAAACCTGCGAGATGGGCTGGTTGACATAAACCCAGCCAGTCAGCGGGTTTACCCTGAGGTACTCCGGCTGCTCGCTGGACATAGAGTATGTGACGGCGGCGTTGGTTCCAAAGTCGTCGTCGTGGGCCGCCACTCGCAAAAAGCTGGTCCCGATCATCGTGTCTTCGCGAAGGAAGTCTACGAGGAAAGAATTTTGGGGTGTTTAGCACAAAATAAGAAACAGATGATTTTCCAAATGTAGCATGTTGACCATTTTTTTCCATATTGAATTCAGACTATTGAAAAACACTTTGCTCCAATGAACGATTTGTCATATTTTCATGCTAGCATTCAATGTGAGTTTTAAATGTTTTTTTCTGAGAAAAAATTGTCCTCGGTGGCAAGTTAGAATCTTCAAATTTTGTGGTTTTATTTGTTTCCAATATGTTTTTATTATTGTCCCAATTAACAAACATGCATCTCCGGAGTTTTTAATATGAATCTTACTCATTTTCCTTCTTTCATCAGTGTCGTGAAAATCACTTTTCTCCAAATGTTTTTTTTTTTTTTTTTTTTTTTAGATTGCAGATTGCAAGCATGATTCTCCAGATTTTGGCATCTTATCTATTCGTATCAAAACTCTTTTTATCATTGTCTCCCGTGACGAAGATGCATCTCCAAATGTGTTTTCAAAACTCATTTATTTTCCAAATTTCAGTCGAGTGAAAATCATTTCTTGAGAATTTATTTTATTTAATCCCAATTTTCTTTTTTTTTTTTTTAATAGTTGGAGGCTGGCCAATGAAAACCTGCTTTTCCCAATTATTCTCATTTCATATTTTATGCTAAACCCCAATTTTTGATACATTTTTTTGTCCTGAAAAAAAATGTCCTCGAGGGCAAGCAGGATTCTCCAAATGTTGCAAGCTTTTTATTTTTTAAATATATACTTGGCAAAGAAGGAGAAAGAGATCGAGCCCTGCCGCGAACAGCCAAAGTCCACAAATTGGCGCCATCACAAAAAAGGTGTTTGTCATTGTTTATGGATGTCACGTGACGGCAGCAAAAAGTGAAGACGTGTTAACATCAAACAACAACGCCGCGCTTCCAGCATGCGCACAGCGATCAACACGTTACATAGATGACTCCATTCGGTTGTTCATTTAACGCAAACAAGGCCGCCGTCACATGAGGCGCATCAATGGTTTTAGCTAGCATGCCGGTCGAAATACTCGAAACATGTCTCGTTGCATTTTCAATTCTAATCACTTTCATGGTGGTTTGAATTATTGGGCCAAATTGGCTTCTTGAATTGAATGAAGGTCACCAAATGTTGTTCTCTTCCGAGTCAAGTTGCACTCACACTCGTAGCGGATGTTCTCAAACTTGGGGCTGTTATCGTTCTGGTCCACAATGAGAATGTTGAGCTGGCAGATGCCAATCAGCGGATCGTTGGCCTGGTCGGTGGCCGTGACCGTCACCGCGTACTCCCGCTGGCGTTCGCGGTCAAATTTCCGGGCCGTGACAATCGTCCCTGGAGACAAAAGACGATGAGAAGAGACGGACGTCGTTTGCTGCATCCCGGCGCAACGGGAACCTTTGACATCCTCATAAAAACGACACAACGAAGGAGCACTCGGTTGCTGCGGCGAAACAAAGGAATCCGTTTCGATTGCGTCCTGCTGCTGTGATGAGAAGCTCGATTGATGTTGCAAGCTGTAAAAACTTATTTCATCACAGGTCGCGTTTCTCCTGGCTCAAATTGAGGAAGTGCTGTTACCTTCAGGATCATTCATTGTTTTGTTTTGTTTAACGACTCGTAAACAAAACAAAAGGATGGGGACCATTTCAAATGAGATAAAACGAAAGTACAGCCAACTGCGGTGAAAGAGCAAACTTTGAAGCATCAGATTTATTTTTCATCTTTTTGAGTTATGTTTTTATCTCACATTTAATATATTTGTTCTCTTTTCTCTCATCTCATTAACCCTGCAGTTTTTACATTTTTTTGGCACGTTCAAGTACCGCCTCAAAATATATGCAATAGCGTAACTGTGCTAAATATTTGATTGAAAAAAAAGTTTTAATATTATTGTAACCCACTGTAACATTCCGCACAGTTTGAGCATTGACACGACTCTGAATATGAATGAAATGAAAATTTAAAAACTTGCTCAAAAAACGATGACATTAAAATGTATTGCACATGAGTGAAATAAAAATTGGACCCCAATAAACAGATTAAATTCAGATGTATGGTATTTCAAAGTTAAATACAAATGAATTGTGTGGCAATATATCTGTGTCATTAGATCCTCAAATTTGAACTCCTCCCTTCCACTCAAGTGCTTTTACCATGAACGTATTCAATGTACACTTGACGGCATGAACAAAATCTGACATATTCAGCTGCGAATTCAACTTTCGGATGCAAAGTCAGCAGCAAATGTAGCTGCAAAATGTCAATTGCAATTCAACCAGACCGAAGCAACCAATGGCACATTGCCAGTTTCATCAGTACACGTGACCGAGGAAGCTGAACGCGGTTGGCTGAAGTTGGATGATTGCGCAATCGATTGCTTTGGCCTGGTCGATCTCAGAGTGGCGTTTTGTCGCTAAATTTGCAACTGCCTTTGCATCTGAAAGTTGAAGCTGCAGCTGAATGATGAAACCGCTCCTGAATATTTTGATTTTTTTTTCTAGCTAAAAGGTGTAGATGGAACTGTTTGATGGTTCAAAAAAATTCAGTGTCGGTGAAGTCAATTCGGAATCCGAGTGCATGTATATTTCCGCAAAATATTCCTGAACACACGTGCTGTACTGCATTCAAAAATTGCTTAAACCGCCGTTATATAACACATTTTTCCCTACTTTGGGTAGGTCCAGAAAATATCCAAATGAAAAAAAAACCGAGCACGTGGAAAAGAAGACTTGCCGGTCAATTGAGATGTGCGACGTGTGCGTGCACCTGTGTCAGGGTGAATGCTGAAAGCGGGCACAGTGGAGTCTTTGTGCATGAAGCCGTATGTGACCTTGCCGTTGGAACCCTCGTCCGCATCCACGGCGTCAACCCGCAGCACAAACGTCCCGGCCGGTTGGTTCTCCAGGACCGCCGTCTTCTCCCGGTACTGTTGGCACTGAGGGGGCGGTGAGAGGGTAGGGGGTTGAGAGAAAAAGGAAGCGGGCAAACTATGTCAGAAGTGCATAAGAGGTGATCTTTTATTCATTGCACAAGCACAGTTCATCCATATGTGTCAAAGTCTTTTTCGGCCAAAAGTGGCGTTCACTGATGTGGTGCGGCGAGGTAGTCGGGAGGGGATGGCGGTGGGTGGTGGGCAGTAACGGCCCGAAGCCACTCCTGGTTGGACTCTTGAGAGAAGCTTCATGAGTAGACAAACCAAAAAGGCTCAACAACCAAGATATGAAAAGACGCGGGAAGCCCACCGCGTTGTTTGAAGACGCCATTTTGGGGTCAATTTCTCAAGAAGCCTTGCTTGACCATGTTGGTTTAAAGCAGGGATGGGCGACTTCGATCGGGGGGGGGGGGGGGGGGTAACCATTTTTCCGTCACTGCTACTGGGGAGGCTCCATAGAAGCACGCACTTCTCAACCAGATGTGGATCGGCATTCACGGATTCCATTTTTTGGAATTGTTGCTGAATGTGAAACGTGACATTTTGGGACATGTTTTACGTATTTGGATGTAATACGCAAGCTAAAGCTATTGTTGAGCCAGATGTGAAGCTGGTTTGTCTGTGCTGATATTTTTTTGTTTTGTTTTATTTATTTTTTTTTTAAATCAAAAAAAATCACATGCTGCCCGCGGGCTGCCAGTTGCCCACCGCTGATTTTTACACCAAGTTTTATAGGTTGCACCCTAAACAGACTCTTGGACGCCCCCTACTGACAGAAAACACATGCATGCAGGCAGGAAAGGCGCTCCGGCCCCGCTCCCGTTTCCTTCAGACGCCCGCACCGAGTCCTCGAGGCTGACATGGCGGTACGCGGCTTTAATTTGTAGTTCTTGATTCCCCCCGCTGACGGCTCACAGCAGTGGGCCTCGGCGCAACGGCATTTGCAGCACGCGGCTGCGAGGGAGACTTTCAAAATCAATCTATTATACATAAAGTACCATTTCTCTCCGCCAAGATGTTTGCGCATTTGCGCCCCCACAAGCTGTTCTTGCTTTTCCAGGCCAAATTGTGCGAATTAATGAAGCTCGCTTAGAAAAGTACTTGATTCTATTTTCACCGCTAATTGTCATGTATCTGCACCAGCCACGGTGCGTGTGTGCGTGCGCGTGTCGGCTTGATTTATGAGAAGCTCCATAGCAATTTCTCGGTGCTACTTAACGGCTCCATTGAAGTGGAAGTGCAGAATTCGGAGACTATTAATCGGATATTCTGAATATGGCATCGCAGGCGGAAACAAGAAAGGCCCGTGTGGGTTTGCCGCCTATTGTCGAGTCAATGTCAATGGTTGGTTTTATCCTCGATATTTTTGGGGGTGATAACGGTCTCCAAATGGAATTCAGCAGCCTCATTAAAAGCCGGCATGATTCAGTTTTCGTTTCGATTAGATTTGGCGTCGTGCTTCTGTTCCGGTTGTGACCAACAGGTGGCATCGGTGGGCTTCTCCACCAGCGTCGCACCTGTTGGTCATTCGCTCTTTTTATTTTAAAAGGACTGCCACGCCGACCACTCGGTGTCGAATCGTCACGTTTCGTTTGTCGTCATCGTGTTTTGTTCTTGTTTTTCGGGGGGGTTTCGAGGCTTTGTTGGTGTTGTTGATTCAGTTTGCCATTTTGGATGTAAGCTGCCATTTGTTCACTGTTTTTTCGAATTTTAAGACGTTCTTGTCCTCCAGATTTTGTCTGATGGTGACCAATTTTGAAACAGTCATTCTATGCCGACGAGCGACACCAAAAATTGTTCATCTTCGTCAGCGCTTGTGGCCAGAGCATAGCAGGAAAGCTTGACGCCTCCTCCCCTCCATCAAAATTAAATCTGGAGAACCCCAGATCAAGTTGAAAATTTAGCTCCCAAAGCCAGTTTTGGTTTGGAACGCGACACTTGATTGTCCATTCCATCCTAAGTAACCCATTAAAAAAAGTCTCAAAGAGCCATACTTGAAAATCGGCCATTTTGTGCGCCCACTTCAGGGGTCCTTTGCAGAAAATCTGGTGAAGTCTGTCACAGGTTGGGTTTTTTTTGTTTGTTTATTTGGTTGGGGTTCTTTTAATGTAAACCAAACGTTGCAACCTCAGAGAGCTTGTTTGGAAAATTAAAGTGGGCTTTCCCACCTTTGAATCTGATCGTAACGCCCAAATGTGGAAAGACAGAAGCCGCAATAAACTAGCAAGAGCGCTCGCCTCGCAGCAGTGCTCTCCTTCGCACTCGACATCATCCCTCCTTGGTTGCGGCCATGAAAAGGCCGACTGCACTACTGATTTTCTCGCTCAATTTCCCGGTTGAGTTCCTGACCTCCGGGACACGGCTGGTTAGTTTTGCCTCTGGAGCGCGCTTCGGAGGGAGGGCAGGAACTCGCCGAGTGCCGGGCGGCGCCACTGCCCGAGTTCAAGTGCTCACCTCGCGCCTCAACCGGCGAGCGCGAGATCACAGAGCGCTACGGTAGTGACTTCTTAAGCGATTGGTCGAGCTGCAGGACAAGCTTGAAAGCTTCTGTCCTCCCAGACCTCTTCTGGCCTTTCTGCCCTGGAAAATAGTGGGGGGGCGCAGGGGGTTCGGAGTAATGCCAATATGCTCTGAAAGCTGCAATATGTACTGGACGCACACAACGATGCGAAGCGAGCGGGACTTTCCAGTAAAGAAGTGTTTTGGGCACATTCTCCATCTCCTGAGAATATGGCTTGAATTTCAAATGTTGGTCTGAATTGAAAGGCATCATTTCAGAAAACTTGATGTCAAGCATGTCCGCCTCACGGTTCAGGGATACAGGCTTCGATCCCAGCTCCGGCCTTCCTGTGTGGAGTTTGCATGCTCTCCCCGTGCCTGCGTGGGTTTTTCTCCGGGTCATCCGGGTTTCTCCCACATTCCAAAATCATGCATGACACGTTAACGGAACGCTCGAAATTGTCCCCAGGTGTGATTGTGAGTGTCAATGGTTGTCGTGTGCCCTGTGATGGGCTGGCAACCGGTTCAGGTCCCCCGCCTACTGTCCCGAAGACGGCTGGGATGGGCTCCCCGACCCCCGCCACCCTCGTGAGTATAAAGCGGATCGGAAAATGGATGGATCGAATGAGAGACCTATTCGAGACTATAACTTTTTGCAGACCTTTAGAGGCATATTATTCACCAAATATCTGTTGACGTCCATGATTGGCCCAAAGGTCTTTTAAAAATATATTACTTTTTTGAGGGGAGGACGGGGGGGTTAGGCAATAGTTTTTCAAATGATTCACAAACTTTGGCCCAAAGGTCTTTTAAAAATATATTACTTTTTGGAGGGGAAGACGGAGGGGGATTAGGCAATAGTTTTTCATATGATTCACAAACTCTTTTGTGAATTTAAAAGCATGGAATTTTTTTCCCGGAAAATTATTTCTCAAATGAAATCAAAACAATTCTCCACTTTTCAGTCAGAAAGTGGTGTTTTTGCTCAGACCAACCTAAATCCTTCTTGCTGATTATTCAAGAAGTGAAAAGGCTATTAACATTTTTTTCGACTGCCTTGTGTTGATTTTCTCGTCACGAATCACTTTATGTAAAAAAATACTGTAAAAACAAAAAATATGAGGAACCCTGCTTTGAAAACAGCGGGAAGTGAATGAGGAAAAAGTGCAAAATTAATGTGCCTTACATTAAAGTTTGGCTTTTTGCACACGGTTGCGTTTGTTTAGCGATGGAGTGGGACGTCTCCCACGTCGGTGAAAGCTTTGAATTAAAGAGCGAGGCGAGGGTCCGACCGGCTAATCACTCCTCCGGGGAGGCTGATAAACAGACGAGGGACAAAGACAATGAGCGTGAGTGGGAAAAGAGGACTTATGTGGGATGGAAGAGGATCACTCGGCTGCCGTCGTCACGGTGATGAAGAGGTGGAAAAGTGAGCGCGAAATCAGCTTTCGCCAGCCAAAGGTGTTTCACACGATAGAGGTTCGCAAGCGCGCGGCAAAGACGCGTTGCCACGGGCACCCGGATGATCGGAACAGGAGCCGCCAAGCGTTGACCTCGATGCAACAGAAAACAGTTTGAGGGCGCCCGGTCGCCGGTACGTCACCTTCTCAAAGACGGGTTTGTTGTTGTTGACGTCGTCCACGCCGACCACCACCTGAGCCGTGGACGACAGGGCCCGAGGGCCGCCCGAGGCGTTATCGTCCGTCGCCGTCACATTGAGGACGTACTCCACGCCCTGCAGGTGAGGCGGAGGGCTGGAGCGCAGACGGATCAAACCTGGACAACGAGCAAAAGCGGACGCAGGTCGTCAGCGGAAGATCGCACGCAAACGCAACGCCGCCATCCATCCATTCATCCCATTTCAAAAGCGCTCCAGCCGGAGTCCATCCCGGCTGACTTTGGGCCAGACGTTTTTCTGGAATGGTGGTCATTCGATGGCAGCGAATATCGAGGCAAACCATTAAAGCAGTCTTTCGAAGCAAAGTGGATGGCTAGCTACCGAGGTCAATATGGTGAACAAAAGGTCCCCAGAAAATGAAATAGGCAAACTAAGCAAAAGTGAAATTGACAAATAACTTCCATTCAAGAACATGTCAAAAAAATGAAAACTAACCAACGACAGCTTACGTTTGTCAAACTGCAATTGTTGCAAGAATGGCCTTTCTGCATTGCTGTACAACAGTGCACGAGAAGAAAGGTCAAACAGTCCATTGACAATTGCACTTTATGACACAGTACCCAGTGACTGTCTCTTTCATCTTGCACTCCGCGAATACTGCATGAAAAAAAAAAGGAAAACAGGCAAGCATTTTAGGGGAAAAAAAACCAATAAACCTGCTTGAAAAACAAAATGAAATATAAAAACTAACTTGAGGGAGAAATCCCAAACTCTGCCGGTTAGCGGTTCATGACAGGACACCTACAAAG